GGTGCCCGTGGGTTCCTGCCCGCAGCCCGGCAGCTCCTCGCTCACGTCTACCCCTGGCTGCTTTTGAGAAGATTAGACTCATCCTGTTGTCCTCCCGGAAAGGGAGGCTCTGAATTACTAAGTTGTTTTCTCTGGACGTGTGGAACTCTCTCCTGCTTAGATATTGGATCTACTGGGCTAATTGTAAAACATACTTAGTCTCCATTTTCCATATCACATTTTGGTTTAACTTGTTGAGTGATTTCTTCCAGTCCTTCTTGAGTTTATTTCTGGCATCCTGTTTCCAATGTGTGAGTTATCTGTCTTTCTTTCTCTGATTGTCTTTCTTTTCTTTTCTCGTAGTGTTCTGTCGTTTCAACGGTGCAAACTACATGTTCTGCTGTCTGTGAGGATATTCACGGATTTCACTGCCCTCTGTCTCCGTGTCCTCCAGCCTCTTCTCAGTCTCTCAGCCTCTGTCTGTCTCCCCTGTTAGGGGCTCTCGTCTGATGTCCGGTGACCCTTGGCTCTCAGCCCACACTGGAGGGATTCAAAATGCTGACCAGGTCGCGGCGGAGTCATCTGGCTGGGGGAAGCCCCGCCCTCGCCTGCCAGCATCATGCAGATTCCTTAGAGGAATGTCTTCTGGGGTCCTGCCTGGAGGAGACGGTGGCTGTTGTCCACCGTCTAGGGACCTGGTGGGGCTGGGGTCTCTCTGTTCAGTACAGGGGCCTCCGGGCAATTCCCTGATATCTGTCCGTCTGCTCTCAGAGGTCTGGGTGAGTCCAAATCCAGGACCCCCTGGCTTCCCCTGAGCTCTCAGAGGTCAGGGTGTGTCCAAGCCCAGGACCACCACAGCTTCCCCATGGCTCTCAGGGGTCTGGGTGTGTCCAAGTCTGGGACCCCCAAAGCCGCCCCTGGTTCACAGAGGAGGTCTGGGTGTGTCCAAGTCCAGGCCCCCTGGCTTTCCCTGGCTCACTGTCTTCAGAGTTCCACTGGGGTCATGGCTGACTTCGCCACCTTCTGAAAATCCCTACCTTCACCCCACCGGCATCTTGCTTTCAGAGCAGCTGTTTCCTCCCTCTGTTCCTGCTCTGTGTCTCCTGTAGACAAAGGCATCCCAGAGACCCCCAGGCCAGGCACCACCCCGGGGCAGCCGGGCCACCCTGGGCTTGGACGGCCCTGGCATCTGTCCCTGTACCTGTGTGTCTGTGAGCCTGTGTGTCTGTGTGTCTGTGTGTCTGTGAGCCCTGCGTGCAGGGGCCCCACGGCCTGCAGGCTTTCAGTCAGCACGAGGCCCCTCCAGATGTCCAGGCCAATACATGAGTGTGGAAAGAGGCCTCAGCCTCAGCCTCTGTGTGTTTCTACTTTGGTCCCGAGAGTGAAGCTCAGGACTCCCAAGTGTCCACTACACTGGATGAACGTCCTCGGTTTTTACCACCTTGCCAGCAGGATCGACAGTCATTACTGAAGCAGTTGTTGCAGATCCATGTGGTTCTGACCTACACGCAGGCTGCGTGGCGTCACACAGCTCCGCCGGCCCGGAGCCACTGCCTTCGACCGGGAGCTGGAGGCTCCTGCACCTGGTCTGCCGCCCTCCCTGTCCTCACAGCCTCTTAGGAGGAGCAGAGGACAGATTCCTCCGGGAGGCCAAGGCTGTAGCCCCGTCGGCCCTGCAAGCTGGGCTGTGTTCAGCATGGGCAGCCTCGTCCCGTCTCCGAGCCTGGCCGTCTGCAGAGCCCGCCCCGCAGTGGGACTGAAGGATATTTGCCGGGAAGAGCGGCTCAGCCTCTCCAGGGGCTCCTTGTGCTACGGTCTGGGGGCCAGTTAGGGTGGGATGCAGGGAGGGGCCTAAGGGCGGGCACCAGGTGTGAATCCCTGTGGGGACCCCCAGTGCCTGGGACGGGGTTCGTGAGTGCCTGGGTCAGCGTCCATCGGGGTCTGGGTCAGCGTCCATCGAGGTCTGGGTCGGGGTCTATAGGTGTTTGCGTCAGCGTCCGTCGGGGTCTGGGTCAGGGTCCATTGGGGCTGTGAGCTCAGATTCCAGCCTCCTTTACCCACTGGCTCCCAACAGAGCCGGGGACCAGCCGTCCATGGAGACTGGGTCATGGGTGGGCAGTGGGTGACCCAGCAGCTTGGTTTTTGTTTGGTAACATTCTTGGCCACCTGAGTCCTATGTCCTGTTTTCCTGTTTCTCCTCTCTCCCCACCCCGTTTTAAAGTAAATCTGTTTGTGTGTAGTGTGGTTGGGCTTTTCCTGCTTATCTGCACCGTAAGTGCCTCTGGTAAGCCCTCCATGCATCCTCCACTTAACCTCAAGGTGAAGCTCAGCCAGTTTGATAAACAAGCTGCATAATTTTGTGAACGAATTTGGGCCAGGAATGGCTGACGACGAAGCACCACAGAGTTGAGCTTGGGGCATGGCGGGTGGTGTGTGTGGAGGGCTCCTCCAGCCCTGGGCCATGGCAGCCTCTGAGGCTGGCCAGCTAGTAGATGCTATGAGCGGGGGCAGCTCTGCCCACCCTGCCACTCCCCAAGGAGGTCCCTGGACCAGGAACCCTGCAGGATGGACTTGGGAGGGCAGCCCCCAGCCTCGGCCCCCACCCTCACCCTGCACTGCTCGTCCACTGCGTCTCCTGCCTCTGCGCCTGGGCTGCCCAGACCCTCTGTGCCTTTCCCTCCCCAGCCGGCTCAGTGCCTATGTGAGGCCAGCAGAAATGTGCAGTTTTGTCCTGAAAAGACTATGGGAGGCAGCAGAGCTCTTCAGAGTGTGGGCTCTGGGACAGGGGCTGGAATTCAAATTCCAGACCCACCCTTGCTTTGTGACCTTGGACCTGTGGATTGGGAGGGGTCAGGAGTCTCTGCGGTGCAGCCCCTGTGCTGGTCCTCCATGGACGAGCTCGCTCTGGGGCTTCGGGTGTCCGTCGGGGGTGGCCTGAAGCTGTGCACCGGGAGGTTTTGGGTCAGATCTTAGCGAGGTCAGACCCAGTGTGGCCAACGCCCTCACCTTTGCACAGCCCCCATCCTTGATGCTGCCATCTCCCTGGCAATCTGGGCCTCTCACTGCCCACGGCTCCTGTGACTTGTGACCACCAGCTTCCTCTAAAAGCTGCCATTCAGCAGCCGTGGGGCTGGAGGTGCACATCTGTCTCTTCCGGTCTCAGGTTCCCTCTCGAAAGATGCAGCCAGCGTTGCCTTATCTGATAGAATCTGAGGCGGAATCTGCAGCGGAGACTTTGAGTTCTCGTCATTTAGGTATGTGGAGCACCCTGTGCTCTGCTGCCGTGGGGCCGTGGGGTGTGAGGGACCCCAGCTGCTGCCGAGTGTGGAGCCGGAGAGCTTCATGCCCTATACACAGAGGTGTCCACGGACAGCCTGGCATGCAGGCCCTGCAGAGATGCTCTCACACAGCCCATATGCCCCCCACACCTGCCGTAAGTGCAGAATCGCATCCCCTACCCCACACTTGGCTTCACTCACAGGGCACCCAGGTACCTGCATCAGAACTATACGCATCCCCACCGTGACACATGTGTCCCCAGCACAGGCCCCCACGCAGACAGAGGCTCCCAGTAGGCAGACAAAACACGCACACAGCAGATCCAGACCCGGCACACAGACATCCATGCAGACATGCTGCTCCTGCCCAGGAGACAGGCAGGCATCACTCACCCCGGCCTCTGGGGCACCGTGCTTCCCACAGAAACGAGTGGAAAAACAAGGCCATGAAACAGGGACAAACGTGAAACCACAGACATGCTGCCCCTCCTCATGGCCGCCTGCTTCAGGGAAGCTTGTTGACCAGCGCACCCCAGACAGCTCGCTGCCCGATGTAGTTATAGGCACAGGCATGTGCAGATGTGCTGTGGTGCAACTGCCAGGGCCGAGCAGGCCTCCTCCCTGTTCTTCAGAGGGTAGGAGTCAGGGTGTGGGGGAAGCCTACCTGCCTGGGCAGGTCCACGCAGGTCCTGTACCCTTGATGCAGGGAATGTGGCCATGTACTGGGCAGCCTGGGAGCTGAGGCCCGTCTGGACAAGGCCAGAGTCAACTGTCCTCCACCCTCACTGACACTCATCTCAGAAGAACTCACAGAAGAGAGAAGCTGTTCAGATGGGGCTTCTCTCAGAGGGCTGGGGATGGGCGAGGGAGCAGAGGCTCTTCCCACCTGTCCTGGGGTGGCGTACACAGGTCCCTCTCACCTGCCCAAGGGACCTGCCTCCCCTGTGACCAGGCCCATCAGCCAGAGTGGCTGGAATCGGAATTGGAGGCTGAAGGGAAACCTGCCCACCGGCCCCGCCCCAGCTGCCTCTGTGGGACAGGGCAGGTGTGATCTGGCCTGAGCAGGATGTGGGGCACTGACAAACATACCTGCACACCCCAGCAGCAGCCGGAGGAACAGAGGGGGGCCAGGAAGAACCCCCCTGGGGATCCTTATATGCCTCCCAACCCCTACATCCCAGAGCAGAGGGCCACCGGTCCCCAGGGCCTCCCACAGGTGGGCTCCGCCTGCCCACTCAGAGCAGAGGGTACCAGTCCCCCAGGGCCTCCCACAGGTGGGCTCCGCCTGCCCACTCAGAGCAGAGGGTGCCAGTCCCCCAGGGCCTCCCACAGGTGGGCTCCGCCTGCCCACTCAGAGCAGAGGTGCCAGTCCCCAGGGCCTCCCACAGGTGGGCTCCGCCACCCCACTCAGAGCAGAGGTGCCAGTCCCCAGGGCCTCCCACAGGTGGACTCCGCCTACCTGCTCAGAGCATTCGGGGCTAAGATTGGAGTTTGACTCACTGTCTGTCCCTCACCTCCTGATCTCTGGCCAGGCCACTGTGAGGGGCACAGGGTTAATTGAGGAAACCTTTTCATGGGCTATTAAGGCAAAGGCACTGAACCTCTGCCTCGTCACCTAGACCCGTGAGGACCAGGGCCCTGGGACAGAGCCCTCTCCCTGGACACCAAGGTCCTCTGACTGCTCCCCGCCTGGTTGGCTGAGCCTGGCTGATGCCCCTGAGCCACTCAGAGCAGAGGGTGCCAGTCCCCCAGGGCCTCCCACAGGTGGACTCCGCCTACCTGCTCAGAGCATTCGGGGCTAAGATTGGAGTTTGACTCACTGTCTGTCCCTCACCTCCTGATCTCTGGCCAGTCCACTGTGAGGGGCACAGGGTTAATTGAGGAAACCTTTTCATGGGCTATTAAGGCAAAGGCACCTGAACCCTCTGCCCTCGTCACCTAGACCCGTGAGGACCAGGGCCCTGGGACAGAGCCCTCTCCCTGGACACCAAGGTCCTCTGACTGCTCCCCGCCTGGTTGGCTGAGCCTGGCTGATGCCCCACAGAGGGGCGGTCCAGGCTGGACAGCTCAAGCTGGCAGAGGGCAGTGGGAGGTGAGGAGAAGGTGCCCAGGACCCACTGAGGGGTCTTTGGACCCCGCCTTCTGTGTGTGCTTGGAGAAGGGACTTTGTTGGCCCTGGGGACAGCAGATCAGTCCATACAGCCTGGCCTGGGGTCCTGATCCACGCAGGCCACAGACCTCCAGGGCTGCTGGAGGCAGATGTATGGCTCTGTGTTCTCGTGCCCCAAAGCCACATTCATAAATGTCCCATCTATTCACTTTCAGCCATGTCAGCGGGCCCTTCCTGGGTCTCTGCACTGGCTCCCGACTCAGCAGTGGACGGATGAGTTTTTGCCTGGGGGATCAGGTGTTGGAGGGGGACAGACAACAGCTAATGGCGGTCAACTCTGCCGCACGTGGGGGTGGAGCGTGGCACGGAGAGGCAGGCACGAAAAGGAGTGGGATCAGGGCCACTGCTTGGACAGAAGACCCAAGGCCAGGTTCCACCCTGGAGGGGTGAGGGAAGAGAGTGCTGGGAAAGGGGACGGCTCCTGCAGAGGCGAAGGTGGGCATGGGCCCTGCGTGGTGGGGGACCCAGCAGTGGGCAGGAAGGGCTGAGCTCAGCGGTGGGGGGCGGCACACAGGCCTGTGGTGTGTCCTTGACTGTCACCGACTGAGCGGCTGCGGGGTGGTGAGCAGAGTGGGGACTGATATGACTTTGCTTTCATGGATCCCCCTCGACCTGTGGACGCTGGAGGAGCATGCGTGGGGCAGGGCCCAGTTGGGGGCAGCCCTTGCGGCTGAAATCATGCAGACGCTGCCGGGGTGCAGTCCGATGGATTTGCTGATGGATCGGATGTGGGTGTGGAACAGGGAAAAGCAGAAGGTTCTGGGGTCAGCGTGGTTTTGGGGGCTGGGGGAAGTCGGAAGTAAGGTTTTGGGGTGCAAGTTCAGAGATGGAGGAACAGTTGGGCAGAGGCGTGGACACAGGCGTGTGGAGCGGGGGCCAGGGCTGGAGGTGGGCATTGGGGTGCGTCGGGACCGAGCCGGGGCTCCAAAGGCCGGGGCTGTGGGTTAGGGGAGAGCGGAGGCTGGGTGTCCATCGGTGAAGGTGCCATTCTCATCTCCTCTAGTTTTGTGCTGGGGGCAGCCCGGGAGCTTTACTGGGTCTGTGTGCGCGGCACAGCCCGGCTCCACCCTGCGGTGCCCACCAGGAGGCTTTGCCGGGGCGGCCAGGACCCCTGAGGGCACGAACACCGCAGACTCGCGGCTCTGGCCCTGCCCAGTCCCGCCAGCCCTGCCCTGGCGCGGCCCCTTCTCCCGGGGCAGCTTCCGGGCCGACCACCCACCCACAGGCAGAGCCCCCCGCCTGGAGGCCCCGGGCTGAGGCCTGTGCACGCGCCGGAGGCTCTTCCTGGACGCAGCGCACCGCGTGGCGGCGCCGCCCACCCAGCCCTGCAGCCCCACCGCGCCCCCTGCCTCGGGCGGGTGCAGACTCCAGGTCCCGCCCGTTTCTCGGGGTCTCTCCCAGGGCTCCGGGTCCGCCTCACTGAGAGCCCAAGACGGGGGCGCCACCGCCTCAGCGACCCTCACCCCCTCCCCGCCCCGGGGACCCCGCCTCGCGCAGCGCCCGCATCCGCACGTCCTGGGCCCGGCGCCCCCGGGCAGCCTCCTGGCTGTGTCCGTGCGCGTTTGGGGTCCCATCCACGCGGTCCCCTGCCCCCCACGCCGGGCTGGCAGGGAGGAGCCCCCGGACGCCCCCACTCCTCAGCACCGCCCAGGGAGAACCCGCGGCCGCCTGGCTGGGAAACCCACAGCCTTCTCCGCCCTGCGCTGTGGGCTGGGTTTCCAGGGAAATCTGAAGTCAGTTCGTCAAGTCCTGTCTCCCTCCCAGAGTTTACTTTGGGGGAAATTTCCCATCTTTGCAACAGGAAAGCTTCCAACCCAGAAACGTGGTGCGTTTCCGCGTTTACTTAGATCTTCCTGTGACGCCTCTCAGCTTTCTGCATTAACGCCTTCCACGTCTTTCACTAGATTAATTCCTAGATCGTTGGTAGTTTTGTTGCCTTTGTAAGTGGTAGCTATTTTTAAAAAGTCATTTTCTGTTCATTGCTTGTATATAGAAAAACAAGTGACTTTTGTCTATGTTCAGTAAACTCGCTAAACTTTCCTGTGTGGCTAAGTGATCTGCGGTTCCCGTGGGTCTTGGCATTCCCAGCGGCGTGTCCGTGAGTCCTGCTGGTCTTCACTTTCATTCTCCAAGCATCGTGCCTTTTGCTTTTCATCTTTCTGCACTGGGTTTGGCCCCCAGGGCAAAGTGGGCCACGGGTGGGGCGGTGAGAGCTGGGACGGGGACGCTGCTGTGAGCTGCGTTTCTATGCTCTTGTTATCAGATTAAGGAAGTTCCCTCCTATTTCTAGTTTGCAAACACTTTATTATCAGAAACGGATCCTGAATTGTATAGTATAATTTTTACATCTCTTCAGATGACAATATGATTGTTCTCCCTTAGCGTTTCAGTGTGGCAAATTACAGTGACTGATTTTCTAGTGTTAACTTTTTTCTAAATGCAACTTTGCAGTCCTGGAGAAAACCGGCTTTGGCATCAATGGTGTGCTTTGCATGCATTGCTGATTCTGTGGGTCCTGTGTCTGGATTCAAGACAGGCAAACATTGAGAGAATTCATCATCACTAGCTCAGCCCTACAAGAAATGCTTAATGGAGTCCTACATCTAGAAGTGAAAGGATGTTAACCACCATGATAAAAACTCACAAAAGAATAAAAATCACTAGGAAATCAGATACACAAATGAGAACGAGAAAGAAATAAAATCTTATCATTATAAAAACCCACCAAACTGCAAAGATAGACAATAAGAGAGGAAGAAAGGAAAAAAGGATATACAAAATGAGGAGAAAACAATTAACAAAATCACTTGAGTAAGTTTACACCTATCGTTAACAACTTTGAATGTAAACAGTTTAAATTCCCCAATTAAAAGATCTCGAATTGCTGAATGGATTAAGAAAACAAGACTCACCTATATGCTGACTATAAGAAAGTCTCGGCACCTGTGAAGACACATGTGGATGAAAATTAAAGGGATGAAAAAATATATTACATTCAAATGAAAAACAAAAATGAACAGGAGAAGCTATATTTATGACGGATAAATCAGACTTTAAGACTAAAAAAATAGGCTGGGCGCAGTGGCTCAAGCCTGTAATCCCAGCACTTTGGGAGGCCGAGACGGGCGGATCACGAGGTCAGGAGATCGAGACCATCCTGGCTAACCCGGTGAAACCCCGTCTCTACTAAAAAAAAAAATACAAAAAACTAGCCGGGCGTGGTGGCGGGCGCCTGTAGTCCCAGCTACTCGGGAGGCTGAGTGTAGTCCCAGCTACTCGGGAGGCTGACAGAGAATGGCGAAACCCGGGAGGCGGAGCTTGCAGTGAGCTGAGATCTGCCACTGCACTCCAGCCTGGGCGACAGAGCGAGACTCCATCTCAAAAAAAAAAAAAAAAAAAAAAAGGAAAAAAAAATAGAAACACAACATACCAAAACCTATGGAATACAGCAAAAGCTGTACTCAGAAGGAAGTTTATGGCAACATGCAGGGTCCAGCCCCACAGGGTTGGTGGGTTGTTCTCCCCTTGTGCAGGGATGAGAGGTTGTGGAAATAAAGACAGAAGACAAAGAGATAAAAGAAAGGACAGCTGGGCCCAGGGGACCCCTGCCACCAAGACGCGGAGACTGGTAGTGGCCCTGAACGCCAGACTGCACTGATGTTTATTGGATACAAGACAAAGGGGCAGGGTAAGGAGTATGAGTCATCTCCAATGATAGTAAGGTCATGTGGGTCATGTGTCCACTGGACAGGGGGCCCTTCCCTGCCTGGCAGCTGAGGCAGAGAGAAAGAGCAGAGAGAGAGAGCTTACACCATTATTTCTGCATATCAGTGACTTTTAGTACTTTTAGTAATTTGCTACTGTTATCTAAAAGGCAGAGCCAGGTGTACAGGATGGAACATGGAGGTGGACTAGGAGTGTGACCACTGAAGCACAGCATCACAGGGAGACGGTTAGGCCTCCGGATAACTGCGGGCAGGCCTGACTGATGTCAGGCCTTCCACAAGTGGTGGAGGAGTAGTCTTCTCTAAACTCCCCCGGGGAAAGGGAGACTCCCTTTCCCGGTCTGCTAAGTAGCAGGTGTTTTTCCTTGACACTGACGCTATCTCTAGACCATGGTCCGCTTGGCAACGGGCGTCTTCCCAGATGCTGGCATTACCACTAGATCAAGGAGCCCTCTGGTGGCCCTGCCCGGGCATAACAGACGGCTCACACTTATCTTTTGGTTACTTCTCACTATGTCCCCTCAGCTCCTGTCTCTGTATGACCTGGTTTTTCCTAGGTTATGATTGTAGGGCAAGGATTATTTTAATATTGGAGTAAAGAGCAATTGCTACAAACTAATGATTAATGATATTCATATATAATCATATCTATTGTCTATATCTAGTATAACTATTCTTATTTTATATATTTTATTATACTGGAACAGCTCGTGCCCTTGATCTCTTGCCTCAGCACCTGGGTGGCTTGCCGCCCACAGCAACAAATATCTACAACAAAAAAGATAAGTATTTCAAATAAATAATCTAACATTGAACTTCGAGGGACATAGGAAAGCAAGAGCAAAACAAACCCAAGATTAGTAGCAGGAAAGAAATAATAAAGATGATAGCAGAACTAAATGAAATAGAGACTAAAAAAGAATACAAAAGATCAACAAAACAAAGTCAGGCTTTTGAAAAGATTATCAAAATTAACACATCATTAGCTAGACTAAGAAAAATAAAGATGACTCCAAATAAAATTAGAAACAAAAAAGGAGACATTATAACTCATACCACAGAAATACAAAGAAACATCAGAGATCATTAAGAACAGCTATATGTCAACAAGTTTGAAAATCTAGAGAAAATGAATAAACTCCTGGACACATATAACTTACCAAGACTGAACCAAGAAGAAATACAACACATGAACAGGCCATCAATGAGTAATGAGATTGCATCAGTAATAAAAAGTCCCCCAACAAAGAAAAGACCAGGACTGCATGGCTTCACAGCTGAATTCTACCAATCTTTAAAAAGAAAAAATAGTAACTCTTCTCAAACTATTCCAGAAACTTGAAGGTGGGGGGTGGAGGAGGGAATTTGTCCAAACTCATTCTATGAGGCCAGAATTGCCCTGACACCAAAACTAGGCAAGGACACAACCAAAAGAGAAAACTATAGGACAATATCCCTAGTGAAAATAGATGTAAAAATTCTCAACAAAATACTAACAAACAAAATCCAACAGCATATCAAAAAGATTATACAGCATGATTGAGTGGGATTTGTTTCAGGAATGCAAGGATGGTTCAATATATGAAAATCAATAAATGTGGTATATCACAACAGCAGAATGGACAAAAGTCATATGATCATCTTAAGAGATGCAGAAAAAGCATTTAATCAAATCAACAATCCCTTCATGATAAAAATTCTTAACAAATTAGGTATAGAAGGAATGTATCTCAACACAAAAAAAGGCCATATATGACAAACCCACAGCCAAAATCATACTGATTGGGGGAAAAGTAGAAAGCTTTTTCTTTAAGAACTGGAACAAGACAAGAATGTCTACTTTCAACACTCTTATTCAACCTAGTACTGAAGGTTCCAGCCAGAACAATTAGAGAAAAGAAATAAAAGGCATCCAAATTGGAAATGAGGAAGTTGAGTTGTCCCTGTTTGCAGATGACATGATTTTATATATAGAAAAATCTTAAGACTCCACCCAAAACTTTGCATACTGATAAATACATTCAGTAAATTTGCAGCATACAAAATCAACACACACAAATCAATACCATTTCTATGCAACAGTAACACACTACCTAAAAAAGAAATTAAGAAAGCATTCCCATTCACAATAGCTACAAACCCCCACCACCAGGAATACATTTAACCAAGGAGGTTAAAGATCTCTACAATGAAAACTACAAAACCCTGATGTAAGAAATTGAACATGACACAAAAGAAAGAAAAAACATCCTATGTTCATGAATTGGAAGAATTAATATTGTCCAAATAACCATATTATCCACACAATCTGTAGATTCAATGCAATTCCTATCAAAATATAAATTACATTCTTCACTGAAATAGAAAAAAGACTCTTAAAATTCCTATGAAACCACAAAGACTCTGAATAGCTAAACAACCAAGACTCTGAATAGCTAAACAATCCTGACCAAAAAGAGCAAAGTTGGAGGAATCACACTACCTGACTTCAAAACATACTACAAAGCTATAGTAACCAAAACAGCATGGTACTGGTATGAAAACAGACACACAGGGCAATTGAACAAAATGCAGAACCCATAAACAAATCCACATAATTACAGCCCTAACTGACTTTTGACAAAGGTGCCAAGAACACATTTGCAGAAAGTATACCTTCTACAATAAATGGTGATGGGAAAACTGGATATTCATATGCAGAAAATAAAACTAGGCCTCGATCTTTTACCATGTAAAAATCAGCTCATGATGGATTAAAGACTTAAATGTAAGATCCAAACTATAATACTACCAGAAGAAAATATAGGGGAAATGAGTCAGGACATTGGTCTGGGCAAAGATTTTATTAACAAAACTCCAGAAGCACTGGTAATGAAAGCAAAAATGGACAAATGGGCATATACCAATCTACAATCCCTCTGCACAGCACAGGAAACAAATGACAAGGTGACAACCAACAGAATGGGAGAAAATATTTGCAAATTATACATCTGACCAGGAGTGAATAATTAGATTATGTAAGGAATTCAAACAACTCAAGAGCAAAAAAAAAATTAAGTTGATTAAAAAATGGGTGAAAGTTTCTGAATAGGCATTTCTCAATAGAAAACATATAAAGAGCCAAAACATATGGAAAAAACCTCAACATCACTAATTACCAGAGAAATGCAAATTGAAACCACAATAAGATATAATCTCAACCAAGTTTGAAGGGCTTTTATCTAAAAGACAAACAGTAACAAATGCTGGTGAGAATGCAGAGAAATGGTAAAACTTACACACTGTTGGTGGGAATGTAAATCAGTACAGCCATTATGGAAAACAGTATGGGGTTTCCACAAAAAAAAAACATAGAACGACCATATAATCCAGCAATCCCACTACTGGGTATTTATCCAAAGGAAGGGAAATCAGTGTATTGAAGAGACGTCTGTACCCTCATGTTCACTGCAGCACTATTCACAAAAGACAAGACATGGAATCAGCCTAAGTGTTCATTAATAGGTAACTATATAAAGGAAATGTAATATACATACACAATGGAATACTATTAAGCCATAAAAAAGAATGAAATAGGCCTGGCATGGTAGCTAATACCTGTAATCCCAGCACTTTGGGAGGCCAAGACGGGTGGATTGCTTGAGTCCTGGAATTTGAGACCAGCTTGGGCAACATGGTGAAACCCCATCTCTGCAAAAAATGCAAACAAATTAGCTGGGTGTGGTGGCATGCACCTGTGGTCCCAGCTACTAGGGAGGCTGAGATGGGGGGATTCCTTGAGTCCAGGAGGCAGAGGTTGCAGTGAGCCAAGATCATGCCACTGTACTCCAACCTGGGCCACACAATAAGACCCTGGGAGTGTCTCAAGAAAAAAAATAAAGAAATCTGCAATGTCAGCACTTTGGGAGGCCAAGGCAGGTGGATCACCTGAGGTCTCTGGTCTGAGGTCAGGAGTTCAAGAATAGCCTGGCCAACATGGCAAAACCCCATCTCTACTAAAAATACGAAAATTAGCTGGGTGTAGTGCCACGTGCCTGTAATCTCAGCTACTCGGGAGGCTAAGGCAGAAGAATCGCTTAAACCTGGGAGGTGGAAGTTGCAGTGAGCCGAGACTGCACCATTGCACTCTAGCCTGGGCAACAAAAGTGAAACTCCATCTCAAAAACAAAAACAAAAACAAAAACAAAAAAAACTTGCCATTTGTAGCAGTGTGTGCATGTAGGACATTATATTAAGTGCAATAAATCAGGTAGAAAAAGTTCAATACTGCAATACTGCTAGTTGTTACTCATATGTCAGCACTAAGAAATTGACTTCATATTAGAAGAGTAAAATTAGAGTTACTGGAGACTGGGAAGGTTTAGGGGAGAAGCAGATAGGGAGAAGTTGTTTAATAAATACAAAGTTACAGAGGAATAAGTTCCAGTGTTCTGTAGCTCTGTGAGGTGACTGTAATTCACAGTAACTTGTGTATTTTCAAATAGCTAGAAGAGAGGATTTTGAATGTTCCCAACAGATGAATGATAAATGTTTGATGGGCTTGGTAATTACCCTGATTTGATCATTATGCATTGCATACATGTATCAAAATATCACTCTGTATCCCATAAATATGTACAATTCTTACATGTCAAATAAAAATAAGGCACTTTCTACTTGCTTCCATTTCAGATGAGAAATTAGCTGTAATTCACATGACTATTTTTTATAGTAAATGCATCCTTTCTGTCTGGTTGCTTTTAGGATTTTTTTTCCTTTAGTTTCCAAAAATTTAATTATGTGTCTTGGTGTGAATGTCTTTGAATTCATCTTATTTGGGATTTCTCAGCTTCTCGAATCTGTAGTTTTGTGTCTTTCACCACATTTGGAGAGTTTTCAGTAATTGTTACTTTAAATACATTTTCAGCCCCACACTCTCTCTTAACTTTCCCGGATTTCCCATGATACAAAGATTAAGTCTTGTTATTACTGTCCCACAGATCCCTGAGGCGCTATAAATTTTTCTATTTTCTCTCTGTTGTTTGCATTGAGTAAATTCTATTGATGTATCTTCAAGTTCACTGGTGCCATCCTCTGTCATTTCCATTCTACAAGTCCGTTCATTGAGTTTTTAACATTTCGGTTATTATATTTTCAGTTCTATAATATTCATTTATTTTAAAAACAACTTGATTGAAGTTCATATATCATTAAAGTGTGTGGTGCAGAGGATTTTAGTATATTCAGGATTATGCAACCATCACCACTAGCTAATTTCAGAACATTTTTATCACCTTATGAAGACATCCTGTATGTAGCTGGCTGCAGTAGCTCACACCTGTAATCTCAGCACTTTGGGAGGCCAAGGTGGGAGGGTCATATGAGGCCAGGAGTTTGAGACCGGCCTGGGTACATAGCAAGACTTTCCATCTCTACAAAAAATTTTAAAAATCAGCCAGACATGGTGGTTCCAGCTACTCAGGAGGCTAAGGTAGGAAGATCACTTGAGGCCAGGAAGTTGAGGCTGCAGTGAGCTATGATCATGCCACTGCACTCCAGCCTGGACAAGAAAGTGAGACTCTGTCTCCCAATAAAAAATTACATAAATAAATAAAAATAAAAAATAAAAACACTATACTATTTTCAGTCCTTTTCTCTTTCTTCCTCCTCTAGCCCCTGGAAACCACGAATCTAATTTGCATGTCTATTGATTTGCCTATTCTGGAAACCTCATATGAATGGAATCATACCCAGTATGTGGTCTTTTAAGTCTGGCTTCTCTCACTGAGCATGTTTTCAAGGTTGATGCACATCTAGTCGGTGTGGGTGCCTCGTTCCCTTTCTACAGCTCAGTGACGTTCTGTAATATGGACATACTGCATTTTCTTTATCCATTTATCAGTTGATGCACACGTGAGCTGTTTTCATCTTTATTATGAATAATGCTGCATGAACATTCATGTAGAGATTTTTGTGTGGACATAAGTTTACATTCCTCTTAGATATGTACCCTGCAGTGGAACTGCCCTTCCTGGGCTCCAGTGGTATCTTCCTGGAATATCTCTATTTAACATGTGGACAAACTGCCAAACTTTCTCAAAGCAGTTGCACCATTTTGCAGTCTACCAGTAAAATCTGAGCGTTCCCATTTCTCCACATCCTTACCACTGTTTCATTTTTTTTTAAGACAGATTCTTACTCTGTCACCCAGGCTAGAGTGCAGTGGTGTAATCTCAGCTCACTGTAACCTCCGCCTCCTGGGTTCAGGCGATTCTCCTGTCTCAGCCTCCCGAGTAGCTGGGACTACAGGTGCATGTCACCATGCCCGGCTAATTTTTGTATTTTTAGTAGTGACAGGGTTTCACTATGTTGGCCAGGGTGGTCTCGAACTCCTGACCTCAGGTGATCCACCTGCCTCAGCCTCCCAAAATGCTGGGATTACAGGTGTGAGCCACCGCACCTAGACTGTTTCATTTTTATAACTTCTGTTTCTTTGCTGAGATTTCTATTTTTCCATTTATTTCAAGGGGATTTGCAATTTGTTATGGAAACAGTTTTATGATGCCTGTTTCAAAATCCTTGCCAGATAATTCTGACACCCGAGTCTTCCTGGTGCTGGCCTCAGTCGATTGTCTCTTATTGAAATGGTCGTGTCCCTGGGTCTTCATCTGACGAGTGATTCTTAGCTGTATCTTCTCTCAAGAGTTTTGGTTCCAATGACAGTTCAGTTCTCAGAGTTCTTGCGAAGTTCTTCCGTGTCATTCTTCTGGTGCTGCTGGGACTCCCACTCAAACCCTCACCCTACCCCTACCCCTAATTTTACTAGTGTCATCTGGCAGCACGGAGGATGCCTCCCTGGCTGTCTGGCGTCACTGCCTTCTGTGGTGGTGGCATGGCTGAAGCTGACGGGCCCGGGTGGAGGGCAGAGACGCAGGACTTCACTGATGCTGTGCTGTGGGCAGGTTGGACCACCTGCCTGATGGTTGCGTCTAGTCCCATCAGCAGCTATCAGTGTGGGAGGAAACCCACAGCCTGCACCCTCCTCTTATCTGGTGATGCTCAGGCCAGCAAGGCATTGGCTGCTCTGCTCACGGCTGAGAGGCAGAGCTGCTGATTCGCTCTGGAAAGGCTGTGGCTGTCCCCATTGGCCCCAGGAAGTCCTTGGCAGCTCCCACCTCTGTGTATGTGACTCTGGGCTGTGACCTCCACCGTTGCCCCAGCTAAGCAGTGAGGACTTGCTGAAGCCCAGAGGGCTGTGGGACCATGAACGCAGCTCTCTGGACCCTGGGACTCGGGCCCCTTCTTCTCAATCTCTGGGCAGTCCCCACTGGTAAGTTTCTCCTTCCTTCATCCATGGAACTTTCTGGAGGCAGCAGCTCTGTTGATGCCCAGGCCCCGGGGCATGAGGGTCCCTGCAGTGACCTTCCGTCTGTCTGGGTCTCACTCAGCCCATGGTGCGTCGGACATGCTGGGGCAGGAGGGAGGTGGCTCCACATGGCTGGATCCCTGTGACCTCAGGGCCCCCAGCCCCTAACCCCACTGCTCGGAACCCAGGGCACAGGGCTGGGTCAGGCCCTGGACAAAATGAGGGACACGGCCCAGTGTCTGGTCCCAATGACCCCAATCAACAGAGTCCTGAGGGATCCTGCGGGGGCTGCTCCATCCATGTCCCCTGGAGCAGGGCTGAGGTCCTGGGAAGGAGGTGGGAGGGTTGGCTGCATCTGGCAGTGAGGTTGAGCATGGGGTCCCACGGAGATGCTGCACCCAGGTGGGGACACTGCAGTGTGGGGCCATATGGAAGGGCTGCTGGGTCAGAGCAGGCAGCTGTAGAGAGGGGGGTCCGGCCAGAAGGAAGAGCAGGAGAGGCTGGAGGTGAGGGAGCCCTGGGGACCTGTGTACATGGGCACGGAGCCATGACACGAGTGTGGGGCTGGGCGGGAGGCACGGGAGGGTGCCCTTGAGGCTGAGGAACACTTCACTGGCAGGGCTGGTCCAGGTGCCCAGCAGGGCGGTGACCTGGTGCCGGATAGAGCTGCACCCCCAGTGGTGGGGTGGGAGTCTGTGAGCAGCTGCAGAGAGGGCAGAGGGGGTTGGGATTTGAAGGAAAGGCAGCAGTGTGGCCACAGATGGATGGATACCTGGGGTTGAAGGGATTTGCTTTTGTGTTAAGGATTGCAAGCACAAGGGCCGGAATTCTCTACTACAACAAGAAATAGCTTTAGAAAATACAATATAAAAAGCCATTCATAGCGGGCATAGTGGCTCATGCCTGTAATCCCAGCACTTTGGGAGGCCAAGGCAGGCAGTTTACCTGAGGTCAGGAGTTCGAGATCAGCCTGGCCAACATGGTGAAACCCCATCTCTGCTAAAAATACAAATATTAGCCAGTCGTGGTGGTGTGCGCCTGTAATCCCTGCTACATGGGAGGCTGAGGCACGAGAATTGCATAAACCCTGGAGGTGGAGGTTACGGTGAGCTGAGATCGTGCCATTGCACTCCAGCCTGGGTGACAGAGTGAGATTCTGTCTCTAAGTAAATCAATCAGTCAATCACAGACACCAGCGCACATCCATGTCCTGAGGAGAACCAGGTGGGAGGGTGATGAGGAGGCTGGGGGGTGTGGAGGGATGGAGGAAGACTGAGAGGGAGGGGATTCAAGGCTCCCCACGAGGTGGGAGGGAAAGGTCTTCATCTTGGACCAGGCAGGGTCCCCCCTCTGCTCCTGACTGCCATCTGGGGGGCTCTTTTCTGGGTGTGGAAAGTCCTCCAGGGGCCCTGGAGGCTGCTCTGGGACCACAGCACCACCCACATGGAGTTCCTCCTAGTGGTGCTTCCTCTCGGGGTGGCTGTGTTGATGTGGGGGTGCAGAAGCCTGGAGAGGGTGGTTGGGGTGCCTCCTTGGGGGGTGGGAGAGAAGGTGCTGGGGCATCTGAGATGCTCGGAAACCATGGAGACTGAGATCCAGGCTGGAAGGCTGGTGTGGGTGGGGTAGTGGGGCTGGGTTTGGTGTAGTGGGAGGGCAGGCAGGGGGTGTTTTCCTGGATGCTCAGGGTTGCAGAGGACAGGAGCGAGGGGTGAGCGGAGCACTCCAAGGGGTGTGGACAGTCACGTGGGTGGGGCAGGGGTGACAGTGGTGGGCTGGAGACCACAGGGCCTCCAGTGGAAGCGGAGGAATGATGCTTGGGAGGCAGAGAGTGGGTGGGAGGACCGTCCAGCTGCAGACCCAGGAGGACAGGGGACTTCCTTGCGGCAGGGGGGTCCTCCATGATGTTGGGGCTTCAGAGGGCCGGAGAGGGGAGCAGCCCCGGGGGAGACACATGGGGTGAGGGTTTCTGTGTGAGCCTCGCCCATCACCTCTCTGGGACTGCTTCATGGGATGAGAGGAACCCGACTTGCCGCTGAGGCCTCGAAGGCTGTTCCCTGCTGCCGCCAGAGCTGCCATTGCTGCCATCTTCCTCCTGAACTCTAGTTGGTTCTGGCCCCTCTAACTGGACCTGTCTGTCTGAAGGTGGACCAGGTGCTCTGAGGCTGGCGTACAGACACAGCACGTGCGACGGAGTGGTGCTGGTCCGACACCACGGGACGTGGGGATACGTGTGCAACCAGGAGTGGACGCTGGCAGAGGCCTCTGTGGTGTGCAGGCAGCTGGGCTGCGGTCCTGCCGTGGGCGCCCCCAAGTATGTCCCGCTGCCTGGAGAGATGGCCCAGCCCTGGCTCCACAACGTGTCCTGCCGGGGCAACGAGTCCTCCCTCTGGGAGTGCAGCCTTGGCTCATGGAGCCAGAGCCCGTGCCCCCACACATGGGTGGTGGTCGCGCTGTGCTCCAGTAAGTAGGGAGGAGTGAAGGGGGCGGGCTGGGGAGGAGGAGTGGAGGACAGGGAGGGTCTCCGAGGTGGGCGGGGAGGCCGTGGGTCTGGAGCTCTCTCTGGGAGGGGCTCCTCGCTGGGCACCAGAACCATCCTGACTGTAAGATTCAGCTGTGGAAAAACCACTGCCAGGGACAGCCAGAGAGTGCACGAAGGAAGCCGAGTGCGGCCCAGGCATGGGGAGGTAGCAGCCGAGAGGGGGCGGTTTGGGTGGAGAGGCAGCAGCCCAGCGGGGGCGGGGTCCGTGGACGCCTGAGGCCCACACGGGTAGCTGATGGTAGAAAGGTACACGCTTTGCCTTTGAGGTCTGGCCTGAGGGTCCTCAGCTGTCCCTTAGACTTTGTGTGGCTGTAAGGACCCCTCATAGCGTCCTGCCTCTGAAGCGGAACCACCTGGCCAGGATCATCTGGGGGCCCAGTGTGAAGGGACCCTGTGGGGACCCTTGTTTCAGGAGACCGGCAGCAGAGCATGAAGCTGGGCACCGGGGGCCTCTCTGAGCCCCGGGCCCTGTGTGACTGCCCGGTCACCTGCCCCTGAAGCTGGCCCTCTGCAGCGCAGCACTGTCCTCCCTGAAAAAGGAGCTGCCAAGTGACCATGTGGGCAGCTGGGTCCATACCTCACGGAAGACGGGCCTGTGCTCCACAGACGGCACGTTCCGGGAGCTGCGGCTGGTGCAGGGCCGCAGTCCCTGCGCGGGGCTCCCCGAGATCAGAAACGTGAATGGGGTGGACCGCCTCTGTGGCCTGCACGTGGAGGAGGCGATGGTGTTCTGCCGGGAGCTGGGGTGCGGCCCTGTGCTCCAGGCCCCCCGCCGGGACGTGGGCGTCGTCAGGAAGTACCTGGCCTGCAGGGGCACTGAGCCCACCATCCGCAGCTGCAGACTGGACAACAACTTCCGCGGCGGCTGCGACCTGCGGCTGGATGCAGAGGTGGTCTGCTCAGGTGAGGCTGCCACCCGATCTTCCCAGTGACCCTTGGGATGATGCTGGGCCTGGACCTGGGGAGAGCAGGGAGAAGGGGGGTGGGCGTCCCCACGGATGGGGCCCCTGTCCCACATGAGACATTGGGCGCAGACGTGGTGCATGTGCACGCTGGAGGGAACGGGACTCAGCTCTCACGCTGGTTCTCAGCAGAGCGGAGCTGAGTTTCTGGTGGCCCCACAGAGGTGTCCTGGCTCAGAACCCGCAGGCCATCGAGGGGTCCTGGCTGCTGGTGACGTCGGAGCTGCCTCAGCTGTGATCTCTGCATGTCTAAGGATTGGGGTTGGGTAGAGGTCACGTCCTCCCAGCCCTGCCTCAAGTGTGTGTGAGCTGCACTGGCCTCACAGCTCCTGGCCTTGTATGAGGAGCAGCTGAAATGAGGTGGATAGTCTGCTTGCTGCAGTACCCCAGAGAGGGTGGTGCTCAGTGGACCAAGGGGTGCCCTGACCTCGCCTCTGGGATTGCAGAGTGTTGCTGTCATGGCCCCGGACAGGCAGAGGCTGTGAAATACGTGGGCACCTGCAGCAGGTGACCCTGACCCTGACCTTGGCGATTCGGCCAAAGACGCCTGCTCTTCTCTGGGTGCAGGGGGGAAGGGCCTCTGGCTGCAAGTTCCTGCCTGTGCTTGGCAGACCCTCTGCCTAGATGCAGATGATGGCTCCTGGCTGAAGCCTTCTGCAGTCTAAGGCTCAGGGCCAGGCAGTTGACGTGAGAACACTGTCTCGTGCCTGAGAGGATGTCTGCCCCCAGGACACACAGAGGCCCGGCTGGTGGGCGGCGAGCACCCCTGCGCCGGGCGCCTGGAGGTGAGGCGGGGCCTGACCTGGGGCACCGTCTGCCACGCGGACCTGGACCTGGCCACGGCCCACGTGTTGTGCCGGGAGCTGCAGTGCGGGGTGGCGGTGTCCACGCCCAAGGGTTCCCGCTTCGGCCGGGGCTCAGGGCCGGTGTGGACGGAGGCCTTCCGCTGTGCGGGCAACGAGTCGCTGCTGTTCCACTGCCCGCGGGGAAATGGGAGCCAGTGTGGGCCCCGCTGTGACGCAGGGCTCAGGTGCTCAGGTGAGGTCCTGTGTGTGGGCTGTGAAGGCTCATCCCTGCCTTGTTCTCTGCCAAATCCCTTCATGCCCTAAAGGTGCCTCTGGCTGGTAGGTGTGGGTGCTTTGGATGTTTGCTTCTGTTGGTCGAAAGAAGGAGGGAAGAGACTGGGTGTAGAGTGATGTGCCCCAAGGCTGCAGCTAAGATCAGATTCTTCTGGAGAGCTGTGTGAGCTGCATGCTGAGGCAGAGGAGGGCAGAGGAGCTGGTGAGAGCAAGGCTGGGCTCTGTGCCCACCCCACTGGGGTGAAGGAAGGAAATGACCACAGCCAGCCATGTGCTGGGTCTGCCATCTGTGAGCCATGCTGACTCTTCCTCTCCCCCAGAGTTCAGGCTGGTCAATGGCAGCAGCAGCTGTGAGGGCCGCGTGGAGCTCCAGGTGCAGGGGTCCTGGGCGCCCCTCTGTGCCACCCACTGGGACATAGCAGACGCCACCGTCCTCTGCCACCAGCTCAACTGTGGCAACGCGGTGGCCGCACCTCGAGGAGGCCATTTTGGGGACGGGGACGCTGCCATCTGGCCTGACGCATTTCACTGTGGGGGGACAGAACCCTACTTGTGGAATTGCCCAGTAAGCACCCTGGGGGCCCCGGCCTGTGCCCCGGGAAACTCAGCCTCCGCGGTCTGCTCAGGTGGGTGCAGCCGGGACGGTGGAGGAGGAGGGTGAGTGAGGGGCATGGACAGAGGGGGCGGAGAGGGAGGGGCCCTGCTGTGGGGTGGTTCCGGGTCCCTCCCGCTGACACCCTGGGTCCCCTGTGCGTCCCCATCCCCAGGTCTGCCCCGCGCCGTGCGGCTGAGGGAAGGACAGAGCCGCTGTGATGGCCGCGTGGAGGTCTCCCTGGAGGGCGTGTGGGGCCGCGTCCTGGACGATGCCTGGGACCTGCGCGGCGCGGACGTGGTGTGCCGGCAGCTCGGGTGCGGAGCGGCCGAACAAGCCTATGACGCACCTGCCCCCAGCCGCGGGTCCGTCCAGGTGTCGCTGAGCCGCGCGCGCTGTCTGGGCACCGAGACCCGCCTGACGCAGTGCAACGTGTCCGCGACCCTGCAGGAGCCCGCGGGAACCTCGCGGGACGCCGGCGTGGTGTGCTCTGGTGAGGGCAGAACCGCATCCCCCATGGCCCGTCGCCGCGGGGTCCTGGGCGCCCTGACTCTGTCTCTCCACAGGGAGCCTCCGGGTGCGGCTGGCCGCGGGGCCGGGGCGCTGTGCGGGGCGCGTGGAGGTGCTGCGCGGGGGCGCGTGGGGCACCGTGTGTGACGACGCCTGGGACCTGCAGGACGCGCACGTGGTCTGCAGGCAGCTGGGCTGTGGCCGCGCCCTGAGCGCCCTGGGGGCCGCACACTTCGGAGCCGGGGCAGGGCGCATCTGGCTGGACGAGCTGGGCTGCCAGGGCCACGAGTCTGCGCTGTGGCAGTGCCCGTCGGCGGGCTGGGGCCGGCACGACTGCAGCCACAAGGAGGACGCCGGCGTCCTCTGCTCAGGTGAGCGGCGGTTGGGTATCAAATGATCATGCTGTTTTATTACGTACAATCATGCCTACTTGCTTTCCAGAATTATATTAAAATATCAGGAGCTGTTGTCTTCCTTGAATGCAGAACTTCCAGAATGTATTGGGCGAGCTTCCTCTTGGTATAGTAAATGGCACCGGACAAAGCGCTTTGGTTTCCTCCACCTGGAGCTGGTCAGCTTCCTGGAGCAGCCCCGCCTGGGCTCATTTTCCACCATCACCAGCTCAAGTGAGCTTGAAGTTTCCATCCGGAATTCATGTATATATACATTTATTTTGGGATGGTCTCACTGTGTTGCCCAGGCTGGAGTGCAGCAGCCCAATCACATGTCACTGCAGTCTTGACCTCCTGTAGTCCAGGGATCCGTCAGCCTCAGCCTCCCAAGCTGCTGGGACTACAGAAGTGAGCGCTGCCACTGGCTTCAGAGTCTTAATTTTGATCCATATTTTGGTGTACTGGAGAACTTTTTGCAGACTGTTTTTTTTTTTTTTTTTTTTTTACAAAGTCTTGTTCAGGCTAGAGTGTAATGATGCAATCTTGACTCACTGCAACCTCTGCTTCCTGGGCTCAAATGATCCTCCTGCCTCAGCCTCCAAAGTAGCTGGGATTACAGGCGTGTGCCACCATGTCTGGCTAATGTTTATTTTTGTAGAGATGGAGTTTCACCGTGTTGCCCAGGCTGGTCTCAAACTCCTAGACTCAAGCAGTCTGTAGGGTCCAGCCCCACAGGGTCAGTGGGTTTTTCTCCCTGTGTGCAGAGATAAGAGATTGTAGAAATAAAGACACAAGACAAAGAGATAAAAGAATGGACAGCCGGGCCCAGGGGACCACTGCCACCAAGACACGGAGACCAGTAGTGGCCCCGAATGCCTGGCTGCGCTGTTATTTATTGGATACAAGGCAAAAGGGGGCGGGGTAAAGAGTGTGAGCCATCTCCAATGGTTGATAAGGTCACGTGGGTCACATGTCCACCGGACGGGGGCCCTTCCCTTTTAGGTAGCCAAGGCAGAGAGAGAGAGGACAACTTACGTCCTTATTTCTTCTATGCTCTTTTCAGAAATATCAAAGACTTTAATACTTTCACTAATTTTGCTACTGCTATCTAAAAGGCAGAGCCAGGTGCACAGGATGGAACATGAAGGCGGACCAGGAGCGTGACCACTGAAGCACAGCATCACAGGGAGACCGTTAGGCCTCTGGATAACTGCGGGCGGGCCTGGCTGATGTCAGACCCTCCACAAAGAAGTGGAGGAGTAGAGTCTTCTCTGAACTCCCCTGGGGGAAGGGAGACTCCCTTTCCTGGTCTGCTAAGTAGTGGGTGTTTTTCCTTGGCACCTATGTACCGCTAGACCCCAGTCCGCTTGGCAACGGGTGTCTTCCCAGATGCTGACGTTACCGCTAGACCAAGGAGCCCTCTGGTGGCCCTGCCCGGGCATAACAGAGGGCTCACGCTTGTCTTCTGGTCACTTCTCACTATGTCCCCTCAGCTCCGTCTCTGTATGGCCTGGTTTTTCCTAGGTTATGACTGTAGAGCGAGGATTATCATAATATTGGAATAAAGAGTAATTGCTACCAACTAATGATTAATGATATTCATACATAATCATATCTATGATCTAGATCTAGTATAACACTTGTTATTTTATATATTTTATTACACTGGAACAGCTCGTGCCCTCGGTCTGTTGCCTCAGTGCCTCGGTGGCTTGCCGCCCACAGCAGTCCACCTGCTTCAGCCTCCCAACGTGTTGGGATTACAGGTGTGAGCCACCGTACCGGGCCATTTTGCAGACTATTTTTGAGGTGGTGGATGAGATTTATTATTATTATTATTCACGCATACCCGAGAGTCTTTGTGTTCTCATCTTGTCCAGGTGTGGTCATTCTTGGGTGATGGAATATTGTCATTTTGGGGGATGGGTTCTCCAGAGAAACCTGTGAGTGAGCGGGTCATGGGCTCCCCACCTGACCTGCAGTCTTTCCAGGCAATCCCCGGGGGAGAAGCTGGATGCCGGCAGAGTCTCCGGCAGCTCATCCAAGTGTGGGCTCTTCTCATTGATTTTGGTTTATATTGTACTTTAGAAATGTTTTCTTCAGCGGTATCTTGGATTATTACTTTTTTTTAATTATTGCGTTCTTTGTATGCAATGCTGGAGTCTCGTGAGTTTGGGTCTTCTCTATGTTTCTGAAATATATTTTGGCGTGGCTCCTTCCTCAGGCATTCTTGGGGCATTTCTCCAGGTGGCACGCCACAATCTGCGTTTCTGTCGGTTCTGCTCTTCGGTCCTTTGGTGTATTATTTTGCCCTCCTTACCTCGTCTGTCACCTCATTTTTGTGTCTTTATTCTCAGCAGCTTGTTTTCTCCTAATGACATTATGCTCCGCTCTCATAAGAGGTCCATCTTTTTCTGGCATCTCAGTGAGAATGGCAGGTCATTTTCTAGAACATGCTGCTGGTTTCCGTGAAAAGCGGCTGATGTTAGCCCTTCCTCTGCATCTTCCATGTGGTCGTTGGTCTCTGGTTTGCAGCATTTTCCTCCGGTGGCTGCTTTATCTGTTTGTCTGTGAAGCTTCATCCTGGGGACCCCACCTGAGCTGGCATCTGCAGGCATCTGGCCATCAGACCGTCTGCTGGAGCCAGCACGTTGGACACAGCCAGTTCAATTCCCGGGGCTGCCTCTTTTCCACCTGGGTCTCAGCTATGCCTCGGTCACTTCTGGCCCCTCCAGGCTCCTCAGGGTCCCTGCCTGACAGGACTGCATCCCCAGGGTGGGGTGGGGTGCTCATGGCTCCTGCTGTCCCACTTGTGGGCAGGTGGACAGGCAGGCCACGGAGCCCTGCTCAGCTCTGGGCTGCCCACACGGCCTGCGTCTCGTGCCTGTGCTGCTGCTTTGCCCAAGGTCCTGTCCATATGTCCAGGGTGCAAACTTCAATCGTTTTGGGAAAGCAGATGGGACTTTTCATATCTGAGGGACAGGAGCCATTTTAAAGAATTAGAACACTAATTTCTAGACATAGGTAGAGGATATCTCTTGATAGACTTTACAAAAATACTATATTGCTAATATTTTTGAGAGAATGAAATATAAAGTATGTTACATGGTGTTAAAATTTGAGTCCAAAAAATTTGAAAGAAAAAACCATCTGTCATCGCAACAGCCAGAGATAAAGCCACCGTGAATATGTAACATACCTGAAATGGATGCTGAGTAACCAGCCCCACCACAGGCAGCAGGGATGTGTGCGGCTCCGACTTCTGTGGTCACTGCCTTTGGCTGTGCTCAGCCTGGTGGTTCTCTGTCCCAGCTGGGCTCCCTCAGTGCCTTCCGTCACTTGATGGTTAGGTGGAGCCCTGCTTCTGGGCCCTGGCTGAAGGCAGGAGTGGTGGAGGCTCTGTTTCTGTCATGGTCCAGCGTTGGTTCTGAAAATGATAGCAGTGTCAGCCTAGGAACAGGCACAGAGTCTCAGACCCTATTCCTTGGCCCAAGTCCCAAGGCAGCCAGGACTCAAGGACTGGGGCTCGGACTCAGTGAGAGCGTGTGGATCAGGCAGGGGATACTTGTGGACACTTTTGTATTCTATTACAGTGAATTTCTTTCCAGTACCTTTTCTAAGCTTATTTTAATTAGATATGATCCTTTCAGTTGCAATTTATACCCAATGTTCTCCAATTATCCTGGTACAGGTATTTTAAAAATGTTCTTACAGTGCTTCATGGCATAGCTTTAAAGAATTGTCTAACATGCCATTAGGTGACCATATTAGTCTGTTGGACTCTACACTGCTCCAAGGGTAACACTGAACATATTTGGGCACTGATCAGTCAGGACCGAAGCTATCTCTGAACATGGGGCTGAGGCGCACACACACACACACACACACACACACACACAGTCAAATAATTACTACAGTCAAGCCAATGAGCATTCCACCATCTTGCAAAGTTACGCTGGTTTTGTGGTAAGAGCACCTAAAATCTACTTTCCTAGCAAATTTCCAGTGCACAATCCAATATTATTAACGACATTCCTCCCGCTGTATGTTGGGCTTCTAGATTTATTCATCCTGCACAGTCATGTTCCCTTCGACCTACTTCTCCCCATTCCCCCAGCAGCTGCCCCGACAACCACATTCTATTGTTTTTATGCAGTTGACTTTTTTTTTTTTTTTTTTTTTCCCGCTCCCATATGTAAGTGGGATCATGCAGAATTTGTCTTTCCATTCCTGGTTTATTTCATTTAACATAATGTCCTCCAGGTTCATCCATGTTGATCACAGAATTTCCTTCTTATTTGAAGCTGAACAGTATTCCATAGCATCTATGTACCACATTTCTGTTTTACTTTTTTAAATCGACAATCTTCGTACATCTGTATGGGGTACATAGTGGTGTTTCAATCCGTATAATGTGTAGTGGTAAGATCAGGGTAATTAGCAAACAATCATCTCAGACATGTTTCATTTCTTTTTTTTTTTTTTTTTTTTTGAGACGGAGTCTTGCTCTGTAGCCCGGACTGGAGTGCAGTGGCCGGATCTCAGCTCACTGCAAGCTCCGCCTCCCGGGTTCACGCCATTCTCCTGCCTCAGCCTCCGGAGTAGCTGGGACTACAGGCGCCCGCCACCTCGCCCGGCTAGTTTTTTGTATTTTTAGTAGAGACGGGGTTTCACCGTGTTAGCCAGGATGGTCTCGATCTCCTGACCTCGTGATCCACCCGTCTCGGCCTCCCTAAGTGCTGGGATTACAGGCTTGAGCCACCGCGCCCGGCCCATGTTTCATTTCTTCGTGTTGGGAACATTCAATATCCTCCTCCCAGCGATTTGAAACCAAATAATACACTGTTAATTACGGTCACCTACAGTGCTATAGCACGCTAGATTTATTCCTCTTATCCAGCTGTAATTTTACTTTTTTAAAGCTTCCATTTATGAGTGAGAACATGGGGTGTTTAACTTCTGTTCCTAGCTTGTTTCACTTAACACAGTGTCCTCCAGTTCAATCTGTATTGCTGCAAATGATGGGATTTTCTTTCTTTCTTTTTTTTTTTTTTAAAAATGGCTGAGTAACTGCCGTATTTTCTGTATCCATGTGTCTGTTGTGGGACATTTACACGGATTCCACATCTTGGCTATTGTCAGTAATGCTGCAGTGAACCTGGGCCTGCAGATGTCTCTGTTGTGCTGATTTCATTTCCTCTATGTCTGTACCCAGCAGTGGGATTGCTGGATTGTGTTGTAGCTCTGCTTTAAATTTTCTGAAGAAGCTCCACACTGTTTCTATAACTGATCTCAGTGCTGGGACCCCCCGAGTCTAGCCCCCTCCTTCTGAGACTGCCTGTGGTGTCCAGGCAGGGCACTCCTTGGCCTGACTGTGCTTGCCTTGCAGAGTCGGTGGCTCTGAGGCTACGAGGTGGGACCTGCTGCTGTGCTGGGTGGCTGGACGTGTTCTACAATGGGACCTGGGGCGCCGTGTGCAGCAATGCCCTGAAGGACCTCTCCTTGTCCATCATCTGCAAGCAGCTGGGGTGTGGGGAGTGGGGCTGGCTGGAGAACAGGCCCTTCCCCTCTGCCGGCACCGGGACCGCCTGGGTGGACAACATCGAGTGCCGTCCACTGCACAACTCCACCCTGTGGCAATGCCCCTCCCATCCGTGGCACCCGCATTCCTGTGACCTTCGGGAGCAGGTCTGGATTACCTGTGCAGGTGGGCATTAGAGGTCTCCGGGCGTGCCCGGGAAGAGGTTCATCTGTCCTGACAGGTCGTTGGCAGGGGATGCCATCGAATCAGAGCTTGGGCCTGGGGGTCACTGGGGTCCACAGCCTTCCTTCTGAAGCTTCTTCGGGCACCGACACGCTCAGAGCTGCTGTTTAACCTGCAGGATTGTCAGAGGACAGGCCACAGGCTGCTGGGGAGCCCCTCAACTGCTCCTCCTCGCTCGGCTGCCCAGGTACCCCTCTGTCCTTGTCCCTGTCCTCCTTCCCATCCCGGTCCAGCCCCCGCAGTGACGGCAGCCCCCGTTCCAGAGGAGGGCGCGCTGCGCGTGCGCGGGGGCGAGGACGGCTGCTCCGGGCGCGTGGAGCTCTGGCACGCGGGCTCCTGGGGCACCGTGTGTGACGACGGCTGGGACCTGGCGGACGCGGAGGTCGTGTGCCGCCAGCTGGGCTGTGGTGGGGCCGTCGCCGCCCTGGGGGCCGCCGCCTTTGGCCCTGGCTCCGGACCCGTGTGGCTGGACGAGGTGGGGTGCCGGGGCAGCGAGGCGTCCCTGCGGGGCTGCCCTGCGGAGCGGTGGGGACGCGGAGACTGCGCGCACAAGGAGGACGCGGGCGTGCGCTGCTTGGGTGAGTGGGGCCGGGGGAGGGCTGGGAAGAGGGGCGCCGGTTGAGTCCTGTGGTGGTCTCCGTCCCCTTTCCCCTCAAGCGGATCCCCGGCACCCAGCCCTGAGGCTGCCCAAGACGTGGTGCCTTGTGGGTGCTCCTGGCCGGGCTGCCGGGGACCAGTCCTGTCCGCTCAGGCTGCGTGGGCTGGGTGAGGGTCTGTGCGGCTCAGGTCCGCAGCTGCCTCCCCATCCCGGTCCTCACCTGCCACCGTTTACTGCAGGTTCCCCGGAGACCACTGTGCTGCCCCTGCCGCCGCTGGGTAGGTGGCTCTTTCTCATGCTCACCCCCCTCCTGTATGTCAGACCCCGCAGGGACCTGCACTGGGGCTCAGGGCTGACCATCACGACCGGGACACCCCCCTCCCTCCCTGTGCCCACCTGAGTGAATATATGGGGATCTGGGGATGTCGAGGACAGAGACCCCAGGCCCCACACAGCCACTTCTCTGGGGTCTTTGCCTTGGTGGCTGCGGGGGGCTTGGCCCTGGAAAGCTGTGGCCCCTTGGACCCTAGGTCTGTGTTCAAGGCAGACCTGAGGGCAGTCAGGATGCTAGGCTCATTCCACAGGCCTCACCCCCTCCCAGATCATCCTCTGATGCTCCTATCTGGGCCCACATACCTGCATTTTCCCACCTGTGCCTTCCACCTCAGTCCTGCACTCATGCCTCCCCACCTGTGCCCTCCTAACTGTACCCGCTCTCTGGGCCTACACAGCTGGATTTGTCCACCTGTGCCCTCCCACGTGGGCCTTCCTCGCTCATACCCACTATCTGGGCCTACAGGCCTCCTGGATTCTCCCACCTGGGCCTCTCGTGTGGTGGCCTCGACCTCCACGGTGTCTCTCCACAGGAGGAGTGCCCGTTCAGGCAGCACGAAGGCCCACCTCTCCTGGGGTGGCCCAATCCCTGTGAGGCTGAGGTCCCCCAGGGCCAGGGTCACAATGGCCCAGGCAGCCCAGGTGCACAGCAGGCCCCGCCTCTCACTGTGCCCCACAGCCCCTCCCTTGGCCCCTCCACCTGCCTACAAGGCCTGGGCCCTGCCTGAGATCACCTGCCTGGTCCTTGGCTCCCTCCTGGGCATCATCTCCCTGTTCCTGGGCACGCAGTGGTGCCGCCGCAGAGCAGCCTGCAGGGGTAGGTGGGCGTGCCCAGGTGTGGTGAGCAGGGGCCTGGGGTGGGGAGGCTGGGGGGCATGCTCTGTGGGGCCCTGTCATTGCAGACCCTTTCTGTCCTGGTCACTGCCCTGCAGGCTAAGTGGCCTTCCCCATGGTGACTGCTCAGTGACTCTCCGTCTGGGCCTCAGGGACCCTGAGTCTGAGTCTTGCTTTGCCCCCGCGATGTGCTGGATCAAGGAAATCCACACTCCCAGGGCTCCCTGGAGTGAGAATGGGCTTCAGGATTCTGCTGACCCCTTATGACTTATGTCCAATGGGGGGCTTTCCTGGGTGTGTTCAGAGGCTGAGGCCACCGGTCCCACCCTAGGACCACATTCCTGGGGGCCCTGAGTAGAAAGTGGCCTCTGGCTGGGGGTCTTTGCCGTCTGTGGGGGCTGCTGACAGAGGAGCCAGGGGTGCTCCTGGTGTGCAAGAGAGACCACAGGGGCCAGGCAGGGTGGGCTTGGACTGCAGGAGCATTTCTTCTAGAACATTCTGGTGGGGCCTTTGCAGGTTGGGACATGTCAGGCCATCTGTCCTCAGAGGGTGTCTATGAGGACATCGGAGCCTTCCCCATGGAGGAGAAAGACGAGGGACCTGCAGGATCCGGGGACCTGGGCCTGGAGGAGGACTATGACGATGCGGGAGAGCCTGAGGACGGCGCTGGGGAGGAGGCGGAGGAGGCCAGGGTGCTGCTGAGCCCTGCGGGTGTGTACCTCTGTGCCCTGGCATCCATGGTGCTCTTCCTGCTGTACTGCTCCTATGCAGAGGGCTCTGCTCTGGCCAGCGCCTACATTTAAAGAACCTGAGAGCTGCTTCTCACGTGTCCGTGACTTTCTCTCCTGTCTCGGGCCTGGGGCATTAGGACTTCTGGCTGTCCTTTTGAAGCTGTGTCTCCCAGGGGGTAGATGTGGACTTAGGGAGGTCATGGGTCTATATTTGGGTTGCTTTTGCAGCTGAGCAGTGTCCTTCCAGCACCTTGTCCCGGTCGGCTGCAGGAGGGGCCCTGGGCAGCCCAGGTCACTGTGAGAAGCCATATCACTGTCCCGACCCACTGTGTCCCATCCTTGTCCCTTTGAGGCTTTGCTTCCCAGCAAGAAACCGGGAGATGGGAACTCCTGGGCTTTGAGAAATCGCTCAGCACCCCAATGGACCCTGTGTCTGTCTCCCTAAACACAGGTGGGGCTCCTTTCAGCCTGGGTCCCGAAGCTGAGGCTGGGATGGAAGACCATGGTGGCCTCTGCCCCAGGACGTGATGACCTGGAGCTGACAGTGGGGATGTCAGTGTGTGGAGAGAGTGGGATACACCAGGGAAGGCTGGGGTCTTCCTTGTCCTCACTCTCAAAACAGATGTTATTAAACTCTCTTTGAACTCACTCATCCGTCATTAATTCGATCCAGAAACATTCAACAGACACCATCATGGTCCAGGTTCTGTTCTGGGCCCCGCTGTCTGCCTCACCTGGTCCTTTGTCTTCTCGTCTGAGGGCGACTGTGTGTGTCTCCAGTCCACATTGTTTTCACTGTTTTACTGAGTCGGGATGTGGGCTACTCCTCCTGGAACTCAGCCAGGTAGGGTCAGGGGTCTCCCAGTCAGGCAACCTCTTGGATCGTTTCTTGTCTCTGCTGCCACCTGACTTCCAAGGTTAGGGGCGCAGCCTTCAGTGTGGCTCCCTGATGAACCACCCCTGGGTTCCTGCCTTTCATCTGCACACACAGTGCTGAGGGGGATGGTGAGGGCTCCGCTGGGCGCTTGAGGTCAGAATCTCCATTTCTTACAGCTGCATTGCTCTGATGGGCCCTGAAGCTTTCCCTGACCATCCTCATTGCTGACCACACCCTCCCAGGACCTAACCCACCAACAATCCCACCCACCCAGGATTCCACCATGCAGGACCCCATCAGGCATGCTTAGATCTTTTCTGACTTCTTCATCTCAGGTTTCAGCATACTGGTAACACCCAGGTCTAAACATCCAGTGAGTCGTCACCTGTAGGGTCCTTCGGCCGTGTGGCCTCTGTCTGGCCTCTGTGTTTGCCCTGGCGTGTGGGCAGCGTGCTGTTGGCCTCACTGACACTGGCTCCATAAGCAGTGAGGACCCCAGCTGCACCCTTGGGGTCTCTCTGCACGCTGCCTGCCATCCCCCAAACCCCTCCTCTGTCCCAACTTCCTGGGATTGTGAGGGGGGCCCCTGCTTGGGTCCAAGGACCACCTCGGGTGGAGAAGATAAACCAAAAGCCCTCTTCCTCAGACAGGAAGCCCAATGAGGGTGCTGAGGGGACGTCCAGAGAGCGTGGACAGGGCCTCCGGGCAGAAGTGCGGTGCTGAGGATGTGTGGCCAGCTTCTTGGGGTGCACTGGAGCGGCTCCTGGTGGAGCTGGGGGCAGAGGGCTTACCTACCGTCTGAGCACACCTTACCCTCCGAGAACCGGCAGGGCCTGCTCTCAGGCAACAACCCCTAATCGAGGGTTGGCCAACCTGGCTTGACTCCGTGCAAGGCGTGTCCTTAGGGCAAGGTGGGGGGTAGGGGATGTGGGTGGTCCCTGGGGTGGGTGAGGGCAGGGAGGCATGAGGTGTGTGGAGGGGCTGTGGGGGAGATAGCAGCGAGGTGGCAGGAAATGGGATGAGGTGTGAGCATGAGACACGGACCTGGAGGACACTTGGGGAGCAGAGTGAAGCTGTCAGTGCCACGGGGAGGACCCTGGTGTTGCTGCCCGCTCCAACCTTGCCGTGTGTGCCGGCCTCGCCCCTCCCAGCCTTGCCGTGTGTGCCGGCCTCGCCCCTCCTGTTTCTTCCCCTCGGTCTCCCAGCAGCAGTGTTTTATGAGTTTTTTTTTACAGCGATTGGCACAGACACGGGGACCTAGAGCTGCAAACCTCCCCCAAGGCCTCCCCAGGGCTTTCACCTGCCTGACTCCACGTGCAGGGCACTAAAGAGGCCCCTTTGCAAGTCAGAGTGCGGGGAAGCACCTGAGGCAGCGGCAGGCCCCAGGCGCGGGGCTCCAGCACACACAGCCTGGCGGACAGGCCTGAGACCTTCTCTGGAAATCTGCTTCCCTCTCACTCTCCTGGTCTCCACATAGAGGTCTAGAAACCGGAGTTACCCTGTCCTGAACTGGTTCTCTGGCAAATCTACTGGAAATTGACCTTTATTGATATTATGCTGCTTATAAAATAATACCATGCTTAATTATTGTAAAAACAGGCCAGACGGGGTGTGCTGATGCCTGTAATCCCAGCACTTTCAGAGGCCAGGGCAGGCAGGTCACTTGAGTCCAAAAGTTCGAGACCAGCCTGGGCAGCATGGTGAAACCCCATCTCTAAGAGCATGTAGCTGGCGTATTGACTTGCCCAAATGCGAGTGTTTATCCAGCCGTGCATACACGCTGCCCCTTTCCGGCCTTGCCTCAGACGCCGCATCATTGATTTAATCCTCTGTTGGATTTGGCGGCTTCCCAAGGACACAGCCTCACAGGGAGGCCGTGCATCCCTTACGAATTCGGGTCGCAGGCACGCACGTTTTTCAGAATTTTGCCCCCATTGCTAGGTCTGTGTGTTCACAGCGCATGAGCTTGGCACGACCCTAGGTCTTCAGCCACACCTTTTGTGAGAGGCAGAGAAGGTCCATCCCTCCGCTGCCAGGCCCTGGTGTCAGCACCCGTGGCCACCAGGGCCCTGCTGAGAATGGGCCCTCACTGGTCCATCTCACACCTGGGGCTGCATTGGGCACCAGCTGCAGGAAGCCCAGCCTGGCCTCACCACACACTGCTGGCACCGTCTGGGCTGAGGCACGGGTGACAGATGACAGCTCTGATATGGGGGGAGGAGGCGAGGGCGTGTACAGGCTTCCTTCTCAGAAAGGTGTCATACTAAGTCGGCGTCCACTTTCCGTCCGGGGGCAGAACACACATCCCTGCCACGAGAGCATCAGCCTGGGGCACGGCAGCAGCAGAGTGGCCAGGCATGGCATTGTTCCCTCTGGGACTGTGGCCCCTGCTCCTGGCCTGCGGGACCCGCCCTCCCGGTGAGTGTGTGCCGCTGCCTGCAGGGCGCTGGGAGTCAGAGCCCCGGTGTGCAGGACATTCCATGGGGGAGGGGGCCACGACACCACAGTGGTCCCGTCTGCTCCTTGCTGTGAATCCTGGGAGCTTCAGCTGGCGACCACAGAGGGCTGGGGTGTCCACTGTGGGGCTCATGAGTGGGCAGAGTGATCACAGTCTTGTTTTCCGGGCCTTCCAAATGCATGTGAAAGGCTGGGACCTTCACTTCATTGAATTTCCTCAGAAAATGGTCCTTAGGCCGTTTTTGTTAACATTTTGTTCATTTTTGTTGATATTTAAGTTTGTTCATGTCATTGGTGACATCCAAATAATGCGCGAGAAAACCTGGGAAAATCAAGAGTAAGGTGCAAACTGGGCTGGAAGGTGACAGTTAGATTTCTAACTTCGGAAGTTCTGGGCATAAAGTACTCAAGGGTACCTTTGCCATGACGCCTTTCCTATGTTCTTGTCCCCGAAGCTCCCGCTGCAGAGTCCCTGGCCCTGGTGAGAGGTGGAAACCGCTGCGAGGGCCTCCTGCAGGTGCAGTCCCTGGGGCAGCAGGGCCTGGTGTGTGGGGACCACTGGGGCCTGCGGGAGGCCTCTGTGATTTGCAGGCAGCTGGGCTGTGGTCACGCCCTCTATGTCCCCACGTATGTGGTGTGGCCACAGGAGGCTCAGCAGTCCTTGCTGCAGGGCGTGCAGTGCCAGGGTGTGGAGGCCTCGCTCTGGGACTGCTCCCTGGGGAAGTGGGGGTCACTGAACGGCTGTGAGTGTGAGTGCATCGGTGCAGTCCACTGCTCAGGTAGGATGGGTGCCCCGGGAGCCACTTCTGCCAGTCTGTGGCCCTGTCCCCACCCACGACCTTCACTTTAGGGAGGAGGGGTGTTCCCTGAGTCCTCCCGGGTGGAAGACAAGACCCTTCTTCCAGGGGTGCCTGTGACTCCAGTGCTGTGACCCTCAGACCCTCATGGCACTGTATGACCCCACGTGTGTCCCCTCCAAAGGCCCAGATGGCACAGCACAATTGAGGAACATATTTTTTTTTTTTTGAGACGGAGTCTTGCTCTGTCGCCCAGGCTGGAGTGTGCAGTGGCCGGATCTCAGCTCACTGCAAGCTCCGCCTCCCGGGTTCACGCCATTCTCCTGCCTCGGCCTCCCGGGTAGCTGGGACTACAGGCGCCTGCCACCACGCCCGGCTAGTTTTTTTTGTATTTTTTAGTAGAGACGGGGTTTCACCGTGTTAGCCAGGATGGTCTCGATCTCCTGACCTCGTGATCCACCCGTCTCGGCCTCCCAAAGTGCTGGGATTACAGGCTTGAGCCACCGCGCCCGGCCAATTGAGGAACATATTACACACCGAGGCCATCCCTGGCCGGGACCGCAGCCCAGTTCAGTCCTTTTCGGTTCAGTTGACTCGTGGCAACCATCAAACATTGGGGGCCAGTGGTGACCACAGGGCCTTGTGGGGTGAAGGGTCCCTCTCTTCCTCCCCTGAGTGGCTGGCACGAGTGCAGGCACCGGCCTGGGGGCTCAGGCAGGTGCGGAGGCTGGTGCTGAGGGAGGTGCTCCCTCCTGGCCCTCATCTCGGCTTTCTGCTCCTGTGCTCTCCCTTGTCAGGACCCACTCAGGAGGCTCTGAGCTCCTGGATCTGCCCCAGATTTCAGCAGCCCTGTCCTGCTCAGGCTCCGGCGGGGACCCTGCCCTTTCCCCTCTGCTGGATTGTTTAGGAAGCAGAGGCTCAAAGTGGCATGTGTGAGGAGAGAGAGATGAGGGGCATTGACACAGGCACGGAGAGGCCACTGGCACCAGAGGGCCTTGGCCTGCAAACTCCAAGGCATGAGCTCCAGAACCAGAGACAGCTGGCCCTGTGTGGAGAGCACTGTGGGGGTATGATCAGGCCTGGGATACTGGCCTGCAGGGCCCCTCAGAGAGGAGCAGATGGGCTGATCCCTATGTGCTATCCTCTCCACTTGATGGGCCCTCCCTGTGGGCAAGGCCCCAGAAGCCAGAGGGCATGGAGCTTGTCCTGCCATCTATGCAGGTGGCCTCTTGGGCATAGGGAGAGGGGACCTAAAGTGGGCAGGTATAGTCTCTGGCTGCCCCCTCTGGGGTCCTGGGCCCGAAAGAAAGGCCTCTGCTGCAGACCCCCACACACCTCATCCTCCAACAAAGGCCACGGCCTCAGTCCACACGTTAGGGGTGGGAGGCCCACGCCCCAGCAGAACTGAAGTGGAACCAGAGTGGGCACCTGTGTGTGCAGGAGGAAAGCTGGCCTCCTTGGGGCTGCGTGGTGGAGGCAGCCCCTGTGCGGGGACCCCTGTGATCCAGATAACAGAAGGCCCTGTGATAAGCTGTGGCTTGCACCAGAAGGAGGCCGGCGTCTTCTGCAGAAGGCTGGGGTGTGGCCCAGCACTCCAGGCATCCAGGCCCCACCTCACAGGGCACCCAGGCTGGCTGGGCTCGAAAGTCATTTCCTGCCAGGGAACAGAGTCCAGCATCTTCAACTGCAGGTTCAACCTGAACTTCCTAGACCACTGTGACCTCCCAACAGACTCTGAGGTGGTGTGTGCAGGTACGGACGCCCTTTCCTGAGAATCTCTGAGACGGGAGGTGTCCACTCAGAGCAGTGTGCGGGGACTGAGGGGATGGCCCTGGCCTACAGGGTGTGGGGATCTTGTCTCCTGGGGCTTCAGCACCTGCCCAGCAAGGACCCTATGCTGCTGCCCTCCTGTACCCCTGTCCTGAGGAGGGAGAGGGGCTGGTGGCCCAGGGGTCACCTGGGGAGATGGCTGACACCAATGGCAGCTCCTCTCTCGGGGCTCTGGCCAGGGTGTGGCTGGGCACTGGGCTTAAAACTGACCAGGTGGTTACAGTGGCCTGCCAGGGTCCGGGTCCCAGCCTGGGAGTGGGCTCCATGACACAGATGTGGGGGCCCCAGGCCCCGGGATAGACATCCTTGTTTTGGGGTGGGGACTGTTGCTGTCCGAATTCTGCCGGAGCCAGGATGCCAGGGAGATGGGAGGGTGGCAGAGGCCTCGGCCTGCACACCCCAGGACCTCTCCTGCCGCTTCAGAGCCCCAGGGGCCGGGCCAGCCCAGGTGGTCCTGGGTCCTCCCGCATCGGTCCTTTCCGTGGGACCCGAGGGCAGCGGTCAGGCCGCTTCATCCCAGAGGCCTACACCGAGCCGGTCCTGCCCTGTGCTCCAGCCCAGCGTCTGCCCCCAGGACACACCGAGGCCCGGCTGGTGGGCGGCGAGCACCCCTGCGCCGGGCGCCTGGAGGTGAGGCGGGGCCTGACCTGGGGCACCGTCTGCCACGCGGACCTGGACCTGGCCACGGCCCACGTGGTGTGCCGGGAGCTGCAGTGCGGGGTGGCGGTGTCCACGCCCGAGGGCGCCCGCTTCGGCCGGGGCTCGGGGCCGGTGTGGACGGAGGCCTTCCGCTGTGCGGGCAACGAGTCGCTGCTGTTCCACTGCCCGCGGGCGCGCGGGAGCCAGTGTGGGCCCGGCCGTGACGCGGGGCTCAGGTGCACGGGAGAAAGTAAGTCACCCGCGCGGCTCCGGGGCTGGGTCCGGGCAGGGAGGCCGGGGCTGTGGGGCGGGGGCAGCGCCACTCCCTGGACACCGAACCCGGCGCTCGTGCCCTGGGCCTGGGGCTGCTGGGACCCCAGCTTCCTCCCCTCCCTCCCTCCCTCTTTCCCTCCCTCCCTCCATCCTTCCTCCCTCCCTTCCTCCCTCCCTTCCTCCTTTCCTCCCTCCCTCCCTCCTTTCCTCCTTCCTCCTCCCTCCCTCTCTCCCTTCCTCCCTCTTTCCTCCTCCTCCTCCTTTCCTCCGTTCTCCTCCTCTCCCTCCCTCTCTCCCTTCCTCCCTCTTTTCCTCCCTCCCTCCCTCCTTTCCTCCCTTCCTCCCTCCCTCTCTCCCTCCCTCCCTCCTTTCCTCCCTTCCTCCCTACCTCCTTCCTTCCTCCCTTCCTTCCTCTCGCAGGTGTTTGTTGACCTTGAGTTGATCATCTTTGGAGGAATGTTTATTCAGGACCCTTCTCCATGCGGACCCTACATCCCTGTCAATATATCGTTGGCAAATATTTCCCCCCGTTCTGTGGGGTGTTTTTCACTTCCGATAATGCCCCGTCGGGCACAAGCTTCTAGTTTTGAGGAAGTCCTGTTTACCTATTTATTCCCCTTTTGTTTCTTGAACTTTTAGTGTCATATCTAAGAATCCAGTCTCTAATCCAAGGTCATGAAGACGACTCCTGTGGTTTTTTCTCAGTTGTATAGTTTCAGCTGTTATTTGATCTTTGATTGACTTTGACTTACATTTTGTATATGGTATAAGGAAAGGGTTCCGTTCATTCCTTTGCGTGTGGCGCCCAGTTGTCCATTTGTTGAAGGCACTATTCTTTCCTTATGTTTTGAATGTATGTATTTATTCTTCTAAAATGACACATAATAATTGTACAGTGTGATGTGTCAGTACATATTTACTTTTGTGATGATTAGGTGATCTTTCCTATTGAATTTTCTTCACACCATGTGAAAATCCTTTGCCCCACATGGATACACTTATTTTGGGATATTCAATCTGTTCTGTTGACTTATATGTGTATTTTCATGCCAGTGGCATACTGTGTTGATTACCGTAGCTCTGTAGTAGTTTTGAAATAGGGAAATGAGTCCTGTACGTTTTTCTTTTTAGTATTGTTTTGGTTATTTAAGGTCCCTTGAAATTGCATCTGAATTTTAGGATCAGTTCTATCTCTGAACAAAAAATGGTTGTTGGGATTTTGATAGGGATTTCATAGAATCTGTGGATTGGTTTGGGAGTATTGTCATCTTAACAATATTAAATCTTTCAATCTATGAACATAGGATGCCTTTGCATTTGTTTAGGTTTTCGCTGATTGTTTTCAAAAATCTTTTGTATTTTTCAGTGTATAAGTCTGTCTTGGGCCTCCTTGGTAAACATTATTATTATTTCATTCTTTTTTAAATTGACATATTTTGGACATATACTAATTGCACATATTTATGGGGGTATAGTGCAGGGTTACGGTGCATGTATATATTGTATAATAATCAAATCAGGGAATTCAGCGTATCCATCACCTCAACGTGATTGTGTCTTTGTGGTGAGGACATTCAAATTTCTCTCTTCTACCTATTTTGAAATATATAGCACAATACTGTTAATTGTATCCACCCGCCTGTGCTGTAGAACACTGAAACTTCTCTCTCCTGTCTCTACCGTTTTACCAGTTGACCAGTCCCCCCCATACCTCCTCCTCACTCCACTCCCTAACTCTGGTAGCCCCCATTCTACTGTCTACTTCTATGAGATCAACTTTTCAAGATTCCATGTGCAAGTGGGATCCTCTGGTGTTTGTCTTTCTCTGACTTATTTCACCTAACATAATGTCCGCCAGGCCATCCACATTGCTGCAAATAACAGGATTCCATTCTGTTTTTAAGACTGAATAAGATTTCATTTTGTGTGATATATAGACCACATTTTCTCTATTTACCCATTGATGAACACGGGTTGAGTCCATAGTTTGGCTATTGTGATTAGTGTTGCCATAAACATGGAGGTACAGATATCTCTTCAACTTACTGATTTTCTCTCATGTTGTCGATTGTTTCCTTTGCTGTATGGAAGGTTGTTAGTTTTCTGTAAACCCATTTGTCTATTTTTGCTTTTGTTGCCTGTGCTTTTCAGGTATTATCTGAAAAAATCTTGCTAGACCAATGTCCTGAGCACTTCCCCTGATCTCTTCTAGTTGCCTCTATCGTTGTGGATCTTTCATTTAAGTCTGTAATAAACCTTGAATTGATTTTTGTATATAGTGAGAGGCAGGGGTCTAGTTTCATTCTGCATGTGGATATCCAGTGTTCTCAGCACCATTTGTTGATGAGACTGTCCTTTTCCCAATGTGTATTCTTGGCACCTTCATTAAAAATCAAGTGACTATAAATGCATGGATTTATTTATCTTCTTTCTCTGTTTCACTGGCCTATGTGTCTATTTTCATATCAAGTATCATGCTGTTTTGGTTACTGTAGTTTTGTAGTATACTTTGGAATCCAGTAATGTGATGCCTTCAGCTTTGGTCTTTGCTCAGGATTGCTTTGAGTATTCTTGGGGTCTTCTTTTGTTATTATTCATACTTTAGAATATAGAAATGCAACTATTTTTTCATGCCCTCTTTTTTCCTGAAATTTCTTATGGCTTTAAACAGTTTTTTGGTGGATTCTGTAGGATTTTCTATATGTAAGATCATGTACCTGTGAATACAGATAGTTTTTCCTCTTCCTTTCCAATACAGATGCTTTTTATTTCTTTTTTCTTGCCTAATTTCTCTGGCTAGAACTTGCAGTAGAATGTTGAGTAGAAATGGTGAAAAAGTATATATTTGTCTTGTTCCTTATCTCAAGGGATAAGCTTTCAGTTTTTCTTCATTGAGTATGATGCTAGTTGGGGGTTTTTAATAAATGTTCTTCAGCACATTGAGGAAGTTCCCTTCTGTTCTGGTTTGTTGAATGTTTTATCATGACAGTCTGTTGGATTTTGTCAAATGCTTGTTCTGCATCAATTGAAATTATCATGTTTTATTTTGTTTTATTTTTTTTTCCTTCATTCTAGTAGTGAAGTGAAGATACCTGGTGCTTGGCTTTTCTTTGTTCAGAGGTTTTTGTTTACTGATTTATTTCCTTTACTTTTTATAGCTCTGTTCAGATTTTCTGTTCATTATTGGGTCAGTTTTGATAATTTGTGTATTTCTAGAAATCTGTTCATTTGATCTAAATTATCTAACTGGGGGGTGAATACTATGAAATTAGTCAAGGTGTTCATTTACACTTCTCTTTTATTTCTGTAGATTTCATACCAAGTACCCCCCACATTCATTTCTGATTTTGGTAATTTGAGTGTTCTCTCTTTTTTTTTTTTTTTTTGAGATGGAGTCTCACTCTGTCACCTAGGCTGGAGTGCAGTGGCGCAATCTCAGCTCACTGCAAGCTCCGCCTCCCGGGTTCACACCATTCTCCTGCCTCAGTCTCCCGAGTCATTGGGAGTATAGGTGCCCGCCACCACGCCTGGCAAATTTTTTTTTTTTTTTTTTTGTATTTGTAGTAGAGACGGGGTTTCACCATGTTAGCCAGGTTGGTCTCAATCTCCTGACCTTGTGATCCACCCGCCTTGACCTCCCACAGTGCTGGGATTCCAGGCGTGAGCCACCATGCCCAGCTGGGTGTTCTCTTTTTTTATTGGTCAGTCTAGCTAAATGTTGTCACTTTTGTTGATCTCTTCACAGACTTAGCTTTTATTTTTGTTATTCTCTCTATTGTTTTCCATTCTATATTTCATTTAGTATCTCCTTCCTTCTGCTAGCTTCAGGTTTAGTTTATTCTTCCTTTTCTAGTTTTTTAAGGTGTAAATCCCATTATTGATTTGAGATATTTATTTGCTCCTAATATAGATGTTCGTTACTATAAAATTTTCTCTAAGCATTACTTTCATTTCAATCCATAAATTTTGTTATGTTGTGTTTTCACTTTCATTCATCCAAAAGTATTTTCTAATTTTCCTTGTGATTTCTTCCTTGACTTACTGGTTGGTTGCTTATGGGTGTGTTCTATTTGTTAATTTCCCAGTTTCCCCTTTTAAATTTATTCCTAACTTCATTCCTTTATGGTCAGAGAAGATGCTTTTTATGATTTCAGTTCTTTAAAATTTATTCGGACTTGATTTATGCCTCAACATAGTGTCTACCCTGATGAACATTTCATGGACACAACAGAAAAGTGTGTATTTTGCTGATTTGAGCACAGTGTTTCGCACATGTCTGTGAGGTCTAGTTGGTTTATAGTGTTCTTCCAATGATTTCTTTCCTTATTAGCTGTATGCATAGATGGTCTATCCATTATTAAAAGTGAGATGTTTTTGGTTCTAGTTATTATTTACAGTCATCTATTTCTGCCTTCAGTTTGGTCAATTTTTTTCTTTATTACTTTTGGCTCTGTTATTAGCTGCACATATGCTTATATTTGTTGTATATTCTTTTGATGGACTGACCCTTTAATAACTATACAATCCTCTTCTTATCTCTCCTCACAATTTTTAACTTAAAGTCTGTCTTAGTCTATCTAGGCTGCTATAGAAAACACTGTAGACTGGGTAATTTGTAAATGACAGAAATGTATGTCTCAGAGTTCTGGAGGCTGAGAAATCTAGGGTCAGGGGACCAGCAGATTCAGTGGCTGGAGGGACCTGTTCCTCACAGATGGGGCCTTCTTTGTGTCCTCAAGTAATAGAGGAGCAAAAGAGGAAAAGGGATGAAATTGCTCCCTTGAGCCCTTTATAAGGGCTAATGTCCTTCATGAGGATGGAGCCCTCATGGCTTAACCACCTCCAAAAGGCTTCACCTCTTAATACTGTTGCTTTTCAGATTCTGTCTCAGCATGAATTTTGGAGGAACATGAACATTCAAACTGTGACTTGGTCTATTTTGTCTGATATTTGTTTAGCCACTTCAGCTCTCTTTTGGTGACTATGTGCATGTATATCTTTTCCAAACTTTCACTTTTAACCTAATGGTCTTTTGATCTGAAGTGACTTTATGAAGAGAGCACATTTTAAAACAATTTTTTTTAAAAATCCATTTTGTCCCTCCCTGCCTTTTATTTAGATGGTTTAATCCCTTTACATTTAAAGTAATTACCAATAAGGAGTATTCACTTCTGCTATTTTTCTATTTGTTTCCTACATGTCTTATTTTTTTGTTCCTCAATTCCTCCATTACTGCCTTCTTTTGCATTTAATTGACATTTATAGTATACCATTTTCATTCCCTTCCCATTCTGTTTTTTTATTTGTTGTTGTATTTCTTAGTTTTCTCTCTAGTGGTTCCCTGGAGAGCATAAGAAATATTTTAAATTTACAAACCTCTGGTTTGCACTAAAACCAACTTAGTTTCAATAGTATACAAAATCTCTGCTCTTATATTGTTATTGTCCCTAATTCATCTTTACACATTGTTTGTCCATTAACATAAATGTATAATTTTGTTTCATGCCTATTTTTTTAAAGCATGTACAAACAAACAAAGGTATAGCAAACCCCAAATACAATACTGTTGGCCTTTATATTTTCCTATGTAATTATCCTTATCAGTGTTATTAGATTAATCATCAGGCTTTGGTTTACTGTTTAGTGCCTTTATTTCAGCCTGAATTAAACCCTTTAGCATTCCTTGTAGGACAAGTCTACTAGCAATGAATTTCCTCAGCTTTTGTTTAAAGTTCTCCTTCATTTTTAAGGATAGTTTTGCTAGATACAGAATTTTGGAGTGACCAGGTTTTCCTTTCAGCACTAAGACAATAAGACCAACTACTCCACTGCTTTCTGGCTTCCATGGTTTCTGCTGAGAAATCAACCGTTGGTCTTATTGTCTTAGTCCATCTAGGCTGCTATAGAAAACACTGTAGACTGGGTAATTTGTAAATGACAGAAATGTATGTCTCAGAGTTCTGGAGGCTGAGAAATCTAGGGTCAGGGAACCAGCAGATTCAGTGTCTGGAGGGACCTGTTCCTCACAGATGGGGCCTTCTTTGTGTCCTCACGTAATAGAGGAGCAAGGATCCCTTGTACATGACGAGTCGCTTCTCTCTTGCTACTTTCAAGATTCTTCTCTTTATATTTGTCTTTTGAGAGTTTGATTTTAACGTGTCTCAGCGCAGATATTTTTAAGTATAACCTACTTGAAGTTCGTTGAGCTTCTTGGATGCAGACATATCTTTCATCAAACTTAGAATTTTTTTTACTATTATTTCTTGAACTATTTTTTCTTTCACTTTCTCCTCTCTCTCTTAAAAAAATTTTTTTTTTTTTGTTATTCCGTGGAAAAGCCAGTGTTCTCTCTTTCTGTGACTCTGATTATGCATCTCTTAGTATCCTCAATGGTGTCCCGCAGGTCTTTTGGGATCTATTGATTTTTTTTATTCTTTTTTCTTTCTGCTCCTCAGACTAGATAATCTGGATTGACTTATATTCAAGTTCATAGATTCTATCTTTTGCTCGCTCAAGGGATCTGCTGTTGAACCTTTTAGTGAATTTTTCATTTGTTATTGAACTTTTTTAAGCTACAGAAAAATCTACTCAATTTCTTTTTATAATTTATATATTTTTATCAATATTCCTTATTTGGTAAGATATCATTATCCTGGTTTCCTATAGCTTTTTGAGCATATTTAAGACAGTGTATTTAAAGTATTTATCTAGTAAGTCTAATGACTTAGCATCCTCAAGGACAATTTCTATTTCCCTTTTCCCCCTATAAATGTGTTATAATTTATGGTTACTTTGCATGTCTCATCTTTTTTTGTTGGAAACTGGACATTTTGAATTATTATACTGTGGCAACTCTAGAAATCACATTTTTCTCTATCACCAGGGTTAGCTGTTGCTGATTTTTTTTTTTTCTTTGAGATGGAGTCTCGCTGTTTCATCTAGGCTGGAGTGTACCAGTGTGATCTTAGCTCACTGTAACCTCCACCCGCTGTGTTCAAGCAGTTCTCCTGCCTCTGCCTCCCGAGTAGCTGGAATTACAGGCACCCACCACTAATTTTTGTATTAGTAATTAGTAATAATTTTGTGCCTGGCTAATTTTTGTATTTTTAGTAGAAACAGGGTTTCACCATCTTGGCCAGGCTGGTATTGAACTCCTGACCTCATGATCCACCCGTCTTGGCTTCCCAAAGGGCTGGGATGACAGACATGAGCTACCATGCCCGGCCCTGTTTAATGACTTTCTAAACTCCTTTTGTAAAGACTCTTTGTTGCAAGTGACCACTAGGGTCTCTTTTCTGTTGGTTAGTGAAGTTAGTGATTAGACGTGTTTCCTTAAATGCCCATAGTGAAAAACAGACAGACAAGCACTCCCGACTCTTCCAGTCTTTGCATGTTAGCTCTTTGTTGGGGCACACCTTCAATACTAAGGCATTATTCTTCACTCGTTCCTTATGCAGACCCAAATTTGCCACTTCTTTCTTCCTTAAGTGTTTTCAAGTTGTTCCCAGATACTAGAATTTCAAAAAAGTTGGTTATGAGTTTTATCATCTAGTCATTACATTAGAGGGAGATGGAGCTTTGGGGTTCCTTACTCTGCCACGTATACTGTTGTTGCTACTTACCCTCAGGCATTTCCTTTGAAGTGCAGGGTGTGGGGTATGTTTAACTAGGCTCACACCAAGAACCAGGTGCAGCAGCATGTGTGGGGCCTGGGGAGTGGGGCCGGGGTGCTGACCCGTTTCCCAGAGCTCTGGCTGGCAATGAGAAGCAGGATCTGAGAGGGTGTGTGGAGCTCTGTCTTGGTGCTCACTTCCTGCTTATTGGAGACAACATTCAGCAGCTTCACCTTTATTAGCGTTCCCCTGTGTTGGATGCATTCCAGAGCACTGACAAAGTATATTTCCATAATTTTCCCAACTTAATCACTGCCTAAGTGAAGGCATGATGCCCTTCACTTTTTGATTTCCCAGGCAATTGTGGTGACGTCACTCGCCAAAGCTGTTTTCATGCCCTCAGTCTGGTCCCCCAAGTACTGGACTGGGTAACCAGGCTCAGGCTCACATGAAGGAACTTGCAGACAGTGTCTGCCATGTGCAAGCCACACTGACTCTTCCTCTCCCCCAGAGTTCAGGCTGGTCAATGGCAGCAGCAGCTGTGAGGGCCGCGTGGAGCTCCAGGTGCAGGGGTCCTGGGCGCCCCTCTGTGCCACCCACTGGGACATAGCAGATGCCACCGTCCTCTGCCACCAGCTCAACTGTGGCAACGCGGTGGCCGCACCTCGAGGAGGCCATTTTGGGGACGGGGACGCTGCCATCTGGCCTGACGCATTTCACTGTGGGGGGACAGAACCCTACTTGTGGAATTGCCCAGTAAGCACCCTGGGGGCCCCGGCCTGTGTCCCGGGAAACTCAGCCTCCGCGGTCTGCTCAGGTGGGTGCAGCCGGGACGGTGGAGGAGGAGGGTGAGTGAGGGGCATGGACAGAGGGGGCGGAGAGGGAGGGGCCCTGCTGTGGGGTGGTTCCGGGTCCCTCCCGCTGACACCCTGGGTCCCCTGTGCGTCCCCATCCCCAGGTCTGCCCCACGCCGTGCGGCTGAGGGAAGGACAGAGCCGCTGTGATGGCCGCGTGGAGGTCTCCCTGGAGGGCGTGTGGGGCCGCGTCCTGGACGATGCCTGGGACCTGCGCGGCGCGGACGTGGTGTGCCGGCAGCTCGGGTGCGGAGCGGCCGAACAAGCCTATGACGCACCTGCCCCCAGCCGCGGGTCCGTCCAGGTGTCGCTGAGCCGCGCGCGCTGTCTGGGCACCGAGACCCGCCTGACGCAGTGCAACGTGTCCGCGACCCTGCAGGAGCCCGCGGGAACCTCGCGGGACGCCGGCGTGGTGTGCTCTGGTGAGGGCAGAACCGCATCCCCCATGGCCCGTCGCCGCGGGGTCCTGGGCGCCCTGACTCTGTCTCTCCACAGGGAGCCTCCGGGTGCGGCTGGCCGCGGGGCCGGGGCGCTGTGCGGGGCGCGTGGAGGTGCTGCGCGGGGGCGCGTGGGGCACCGTGTGTGACGACGCCTGGGACCTGCAGGACGCGCACGTGGTCTGCAGGCAGCTGGGCTGTGGCCGCGCCCTGAGCGCCCTGGGGGCCGCACACTTCGGAGCCGGGGCAGGGCGCATCTGGCTGGACGAGCTGGGCTGCCAGGGCCACGAGTCTGCGCTGTGGCAGTGCCCGTCGGCGGGCTGGGGCCGGCACGACTGCAGCCACAAGGAGGACGCCGGCGTCTTGTGCTCAGGTCCTGCAGCGCTTCCGCCTTGTGGTCCCCACCCGCACTCCGAGCTGGGCCTTGCTGACTGGCCTGTCTCTCTGCAGAGTTCACGGATCTGAGGCTTCAGGACCACAGGCAGCCATGCACAGGGCGGCTGGAAATTTTCTACAATGGGACCTGGGGTGGTGTCTGCCGGACCCTGAGTGCGGCCTCCCTTGAGGTCCTGTGTAGGCAGCTGGGCTGTGGGTCCCACGGGCAGCTGCAGGCCAGGACAGGAAGCTGGTCTGCTCCTGAGTTTCTCTGGGTGGGTTCCATCCAGTGCAGGGACAGGCATGACCGCTCCCTGTGGCAGTGCCCATCAGCCCCCTGGGACCAGCATTCATGCTCCAGTGGAGAGGAAGCGTGGGTCCTGTGCACAGGTGAGTGGGTGGGCCTGCGTGTGGGGGGAGTGGTGGTGGAGAGGGGCCTCTGAGGGGCCCCACACTGTGTCTGCGTGGGCCCTTTCCTGGGAGATGAAATGTCAGTTTCCCTTTTCCTTATTCTGGATGAGTCTGCCCTGTGCTGGTCCAGTCAAAGGTGGGGGGTCCCTGCGCTGAGGCTGTGGGCTGGGTGGGGAACATCTGGAGTCTTCCCAGACCCGGTGATCTCCCCCAGTGAGGGAAGCAGGACCCCTGCACTTCCAGGTATGGTCTGAGGACGTCCCACAGGGAGACGTCCCCCTTGGAAAAGTCTCCAGCACAGTTTGTGGAATCTGTAATCTCATGTGGAGATCCCTTGCTTAAACAGAGGGTTCTCTCTTTAGCAGAAATTGGTGTGTTGGGGAGACAGAGGGAAAAAGGAAACGAAAAATATTTTACATAATTTAGCTGCTGAGCTTGCAAATACAGAAACGGGTCCCCATTTCCTGTGCAGAAAAGGCAGGAGAAGTTCCTGAGGACCCTGGGGAGCCCCTCAACTGCTCCTCCTCGCTCGGCTGCCCAGGTACCCCTCTGTCCTTGTCCCTGTCCTCCTTCCCATCCCGGTCCAGCCCCCGCAGTGACGGCAGCCCCCGTTCCAGAGGAGGGCGCGCTGCGCGTGCGCGGGGGCGAGGACGGCTGCTCCGGGCGCGTGGAGCTCTGGCACGCGGGCTCCTGGGGCACCGTGTGTGACGACGGCTGGGACCTGGCGGACGCGGAGGTCGTGTGCCGCCAGCTGGGCTGTGGTGGGGCCGTCGCCGCCCTGGGGGCCGCCGCCTTTGGCCCTGGCTCCGGACCCGTGTGGCTGGATGAGGTGGGGTGCCGGGGCAGCGAGGCGTCCCTGCGGGGCTGCCCTGCGGAGCGGTGGGGACGCGGAGACTGCGCGCACAAGGAGGACGCGGGCGTGCGCTGCTTGGGTGAGTGGGGGGCGGTGGGAAACGGGTCATGAGGCCGGCAGAGGCCGCTGGGATGGGGTCGGTCTTGAGTGTTGCTTCCTCACTTCGGTGGGCAGGAGAGCACGCCCAGGCTTTAGCGGGCTGGTTTCCACCCTGGGATTTTTCTGGGATAAGCTGATTTGCTGTGGAGGCCTGTTTGGGACATGCACCCCCTGGGGTTTCCCCCAATCTTTTTTGGGAATTCCCTTTTGTTTATTCCAATCCTTGTTCATTTCGGGTATGTGTCACCTGGGTGTTGGCAGGTTCAGTTGTTCCCAAAGCCTGCACCTCATTCTCTTTGCAGAAAACAAACAGTTAACCACAGCGATGACCTTAGCACAAATAGCAGCAGTGGGTAACTTTCCCTGAGCCGCCCCCATTCTCTGTGCCCTGGTCACCTCTTGTGACTTGCCCTGGCATCTGCTTGGGGGCCATGTTTTACCAAGGAAGGGGGCTGTCCCTGGAAAGCAGACCCCCCAGTGGACACTAGTCGTTCTGGGGTGCTCTGCGCAGCTGAAAGCAGCAGATGCCCCCCCCAGCACTTCCGACTCGCAGGTCCCCCATGAGGGAGGGGTGTGGCTGGGCCCTTGGGGCCACCCTGTCCTGCTGAGGGTGTGCAGGTCCCCGCTGGCCACTCTGCTGGCTCAAGACCTCTCCTTCCTCAGAGCCTGGCCCAGGCTCCCCGCTGCCTGCAGCGCCGTTCCTGACACTCTGGGTGGTCAGTGTCATCCTGGGAGCCCTTCTTGGTCTTCTCCTTCTGGGCCTCATGGCCTTTCTGATTCTGCCTCGAGTCACACAAGCCATGCAGAGGGGTAAGCGTGAGCCCACCCTGATCCCATCAGCTGGTGTGCGGGGGCAGGAGCAGCTCACAGCTCCAACCTGGTGTTGGGGTCCGGGCAGGTGGGGTACTCCATAGGTCAGGCCTATGCAGACCTACCTACCCCCACAGTCCAGGGAACTGAGAAGCTGAAGAAAGAGACAGACAAATCCAGTTTCTTAGAGAGAAACACTTAAAAGGGACTTATGAAGACAAGCGATGTGCGTGCCTTGGACGGCCTTTAGCTGACGGTGGATGCCTATATGATCATCCCTCACAACTAGAAATTATATACCCCAGGGGAAGGGGACGTGCAGGACAATTGCTTAAGGGCAGGATTTACGGTAAATGCATGCTCTTATGCAAGGAACAGTAGATAAAATAGAAATCCTAGAGGCCTTCCCGGAACTGGAGTTGGTCAGAAGTCAACATGGTGGATCTGCATCTAAGGCAGTTGCTTCAGCCTGCAGGCTGGTCTCACTTAGGGCTTTTTTTATTTTTTATTTTTTTTTGAGATGGAGTCTCGCTCTGTCGCCCAGGCTGGAGTGCAGTGGCCGGATCTCAGCTCACTGCAAGCTCTGCCTCCTGGATTTATGCCATTCTCCTGCCTCAGCCTCCCGAGTAGCTGGGACTACAGGCGCCCGCCACCTCGCCCGGCTAGTTTTTTGTATTTTTTAGTAGAGACGGGGTTTCACCGTGTTCGCCAGGATGGTCTCGATCTCCTGACCTCGTGATCCGCCCGTCTCGGCCTCCCAAAGTGCTGGGATTACAGGCTTGAGCCACTGCGCCCGGCCACTTAGGGCTCATTTTATTGGCCAGAGAGAGTGGCAGACATCTGCATCAGCCTCCAGCCCTCAAGACTGAGCTGAACCCTAGAAGGTTCCCCCAGGCAGCACACTGGGGCTCACCGGGAAGCATCATGTGGTTTACTGACCAGGGGCGGTGGCCAGGGATGGGAGGGCACTGGGGGTCTGGCTGAGTTCCTGTGGCCCCCCCATCCTAGCCAACAGCGTCCTGCCTCTCTGCTGCCTGGGTGGGGTTCCCGCCCGGAGTTGCTGCCCTCCCTTGCCTGTGGCCACGTCCACACTGAGGGCCTGTGTGTGACCATGTTCACCTTGCCTCAGGTCTGGGAAGATCTGAGGCATCTCCTGAAGAAGCGATCTATGATGTCATTGGGGAAATGCCGCTAGCAGGACTATACGAGGAAATCGTGGAGGCCGAGGCCGTGCCCCAGGATGAGGAGGATGCAGGTGTGGTGAAGGTGGACACAGAAACAGCAGGAGGGTTTGTGCTCCAGCTCAGGGGTGAGATCTGGGGTGGGCTATGGATGCTGACCACAAGATGCAGTGGAAAGGGACTCTGACCACAGGAGCCTGGCTTCAGAAGGCTGCTGACCACAGGGCTCACGGATGCAAGGGGACCCGTGGGCAGGGGAGAGCAGGGCTACACTAATGAGGGCAGAGTCAGTGGCTGGAGTCCCCATCGGAGAGGCCTGCCCCGGGGTGGGAGAAGAGGGCTGTTGGGTGCGCTGGGAGCCATGGGTCTGGCAGGGGCCTATGCTGCAGCTCGCTCAGCCTCAGTTTCCTCACCTGTGGGTACTGCGCTGCTGTTGCAGGTACTTGAGGTGCTTCAATGTCAAGATGCCTTGAACGTTGCCAGGTGCTTTCTGGTTGACATGTTTGTGCGTCCCCATCTTATGGGCTTGCCAAATGTGCTTTGGGGACAACTTGCACATGTGCTGATTTGGTCATGCAGTGTCTCCTGTGCCAGTTTCAGGGGAGGCGTCTAACCTCCTGGAGGGACAGTCTACACGTGCGGAGGGAGGAACCAACAGACCCGTTTCTCAGGGATATGACGAGGCTGCGTTTCCGCTGGAGGAGATGACATTGTAAAGCACCCTGAGGAGGAGATCCACCAGCTGGCTGTCGAAATCACAGCTCTTCATTCTCTTGTACAATTGTAGTGGATTTCGTGAGAACGTCTTGGATGCCTTTCTCTTGCAATGTCCTCCACATCCGTATAAAATCCAGTCTTTCCAGGCCCTGCCTGGCTCTAACCCCCATCCCCTTCGAGGGCCATCTGCTGTGGACGGGTGTGCTGGGTAACCTTCAGATTTCTCACACATTATAGCAAATGCAAATATGTATAGAAATCAGTGGTTACGTTTGTGGTTTAGAGACACGTGGTGCCATCTTCATCTTCTGCACCCAGCAGTGCGTTGCAGAGCTTCTCATGCCAGAACGCTCCTCTTTTCTCTTAAAATCTCTTCCTAATTGAATCCAAAGTATCTTTTAGATGTCTACTTGTGTAATCATGTCATCTGTGAATATTCAGATTTATCGTCTCCTTCCAATCCATGTACCTTTAATCTCTTTTTCTGTGCTTTATTTTGTGGACTGGGACCCTTCAGTCCAGTGTTGAATAGAGGTGGCCAATGGGGATCTTATCTCATTCATGGACTCAGAGCAAACATGTTCCACATTTAATTTCACTATTAAATATAATATTTGATGTTCGGTTTTGTAGATGCTATTTATCAGATCAAGGAAAGCCCAGTCTATCCCTAATTTGTTAAGGGTTTTGCTTTTTATCATAAATAAGTGTTGACTTTTATGAAATTCTTTTTGGTATCTATTAAGATGATAGATGATTTGATTTTCATATGTTACATTAACCATGGGTTAAACAAACTTACCTTTATCATGATATATTATTCTTTTTGTATTTCACAGGAATTAGTTTGGTAATACATTGGGTCAATGTTTAAAAAAGAAAATGATGTGTGATTTTTTTCTTTTGTTGTAGTATTTCTGTTTAATTTTTGCTACGAGGATTATTCAGGTACCATAAGAGTTAGGAGTATATTCTCTTTTAAAAAATATTTGCTAATTTAGGCTCCCACCAACAATGTAAAAGTGTTCCTATTTCTCCACATCCTCTCCAGCATCTGTTGTTTGCTGACTTTTTAATAATCACCATTCTAACCGGCACGAGATGATATATCATTGTGGTTTTGATTTGCATTTCTCTAATGACCAGTGATGATGAACTTTTTTTTCATATGTTTGTTGGCTACATAAACATCTTTTGAGAAGTGTCTGTTCATATCCTTCACCCACTTTTTGATGGGGTTGTTTGCTTTTATCTTGTAAATTTGTTTAAGTTTCTTGTAGATTCTGGACATTAGCCCTTTGTCAGATGGATAGATTGCAAAAATTTTCTCCCATTCTGTAGGTTGCCTGTTCATTCTGATGACCCATCAATGATAGACAGGATAAAGAAAATGCGGCACATATACACCATGGAATACTATGCAGCCATAAAAAAGGATGAGTTCATGTCCTTTGCAGGGACATGGATGAAGCTGGAAACCATCATTCTCAGCAAACTAACACAGGAACAGAAAACCAAACACTGCATGTTCTCACTCATAAGTGAGAATTGAACAATGAGGACACATGGACACAGGGAGGGGAACATCACACACTGGGGCCTGTCAGGGGGTGGGGGGCTAGGGGAGGGATAGCATTAGGAGAAATACTTACTGGGTTGATGGGTGCAGCAAACCACCATGGCACCTCTAGACCTGTGAAACAAACCTGCACATTCTGCACATGTATCCCAGAACTTAAAGTATAATAAAAAAAATTTGCAAGAGTTTATTTATGTAGCATTGGTTTTATTTCTTCTTAAACATTTGGAAGAATTCACTAGTAAAGCTCTCTATCTAGGCTTGGAGTTTCCTTTTTAGGAAGGTTTTTTCCCCCAGATTTAATTTTTTAAAATAAATAATTGAAGTATTCAGATTCTCTATTGCCTATTAGATCTGCTTTGTTCAGTTCTTTTTAAAATGAATTGGTACATTTAATCTAAATTTTCAAGTTTGTCGGTATAAATTTGTTAGTAGTGTCTTTCTACTAGCCTTAATGTCTACAAAATCTGTATGCATTTTTCAATCCTGATAGTGGCAATTTGTCTCTTCTCTCCCCCAACCCCCTTGTTTTTTGAGACCAGGGTCTCACCGTGTTGCCCAGACCAGACTCAAACCCTGGGCTCTAGCGATCCTCCCTCACAGCCCCCGCACAGCTGGGACTCTGGGCACTCTGCTGTTCTTGACCGGTGCTGCTGGTGGCTTATTCATCTCATTAGTCTTTTCAAGGCATGTGGAGCTTGTGCCTTTGGTTGTCATGATTTTTCTTAGTGAACATCTGCCTTCTAATTCATTTCTTTCTGGTCTCATCTTTGTGATTTACTTCTGCTTATTCTAGCTTTTTTATATGGACATTCAGATTGTTTATGTTCAGCATTTTTTCTTTTTTAATGCATGTATTTTAGGTTATAACTTTCCCTTTAGCATGGCTTTAGCTGCATTCCAAGAGTTTTGATATGTTGTGATTTTGTTCTAATAGGTTTATTGGGGTATAATTAGCATACAATAAACTTCACATATTTAAAGAATATATTGCAATAAGTTTTGACATGTGCATACACCCCTGAAAGGATCGCAGCGTCTATGAGAATGGACGCATCCATCACCCCCAACGTTTTTCATCTATGTTTGAATGTCTGTCCTGTCCCTTCCTGTGCCCTGTTCGTACTATTTGAATTTTGTGTAAATGGATTATATAGCACGTACTCTGTTTTGGGGGATGAGAGTCTAGCTTTTTTCACTCAGCACAATTACTTGCGATTCATCCATGTGGTGAGAAACCATAGTTCATTTCTTCCTCTTGGTAAATAGCGCTCCATTGTGCTGTTCACCTGTTCACTTGTTGATGGACATTTGCATTGCTTAAAGTATCAGGCCATTGCAAAAAAATCTGCCAGAAATATTCATGTACGAGTCATTACAGGGACATGTGCTTTCATTTCTCTTGGCTACCTAGGAATGGAATGACTGTGCAGTAGGTGCAAGTTTAACACTCCACCGTTTCTGGAGTGGCTGCGTCACGTTAGATCCCCGGTAATCTCTGAGTGTTCTGCTTCCTCCACAAGGTTCTGACACTCGGTTGATAATGTTTGACATTCTAGCAGATATACAGTGCTGTGTCCTTGTGGTTTTAATTTGCATTTACCTAAGGACTAATGACGCTGAACACCTTTTCATGTGCTTACTTGCCATTTGTAGATATGCCCTGTAGAAGTGTCTGTTCACAATGTTTGCTCAGGCTTTCTTGGGTTGTTTGAGTTTTGAATGTTCTCATGAGGTCCTCTGGGGTGGTCCTTTCCCAGCTGTGGCCCTGGTACTGAGGTGTCCTCCCCACAACAGGAACACAGGAAGCAAGTGTTCAATCAAGTCCTGCAGGGTGGCCTCAGCCAGGCCCAGATGTGGGCATGGGGGCCAGGCCACACTAAGCACCCAGAGCCCCTCTGTACCCCGTTTCTGATGGCATCAGCCCCCAGGTTGAAGCAATGGGCAGAGCTTGTCTGTTTGGTCGTTTGCTGCCTTAACAGCCCACTGAGCACGGCTCAGTGCCAGCTCCTTGACAGTCTGTAAACAAGGTGGGAAAGGTAGGGCTCAGGGAGCTCCTCATGGAGGTCGAAGACAATTAATGAACACACCAGAAAAGGGACAGACGATGATGCAAATAGTACATGCTGTGTGGAGATTGACAGTGGGGAGATGAGCAGGAGAGAGCCCCGGCGACCACTTTGAGTTGGGCCCTGTCTCAGTCCTCTTGTAACCTTTAGACCAAGGCTTTATCGATGAGGAGGGACCAGACATGCAGAGCCAGCCTGGAGCCGGGAGGAGCCGGGTGCCCACAGAGGCAGGAGGATGGTACGAGGCAGGCCAGAGAGCGCAGCAGGCCCCGAGGATACACACGACCTGCCCCCTCTCACCTCCCCTGCAAGGTGTGGGGTCCCCGTGGACTAAGACAATATCCTTGCCCCTCCAAGGGTTAACATTCTTTTTAAATATCCATAGGATATTTGAAAAACCTGATCATGCTTCAATTCTCATGTTTAACTGGAGAAGACTGAGACGACACGTGCAGCAGGCATGTCACGTTCAGCTCACACAGACCGGTCAGTGTGGGCCCCGGCATTTGTTGCTGGGTGTGCACTGGGCCACAGGAAAGTCTCAGCCAGGTTTCAGAAGTAGACCCAATCTCGTCATGCCCTCTGACTGCAAGTCCACACAGTTAGAATTGACAACACAAGGATGAGTTCTACAATGAACAGTCTTGATACTTAAAAACATTCATTCAAGTAATTTGGGTCAAAGAGAAAGTCAATATTGATGTTACAGACCATGTAGAAATCCAGTCACAAGGTCACTGCCCTCGGTTTCTGGGGTCTGCGTAGTTGGAAGCATTTCACTGTCTCCTCTGTGTGAAGTTTATCCTGGTGTCCGGCCTGAGGGTGAGTTTCTGCCTGAGGGCCTTGCAGGGGGCTCGGCTGAGGAGGCCAGGAAGGGGATCCTGGGCTGAGGGCAGCTGGAAGCTGGGTCTCCCTGCCAGGCCGCAGGCCAGCGAGTGGTGCAGATTTGTGGCCACCCCTCCTCAAACTGAGAAACTAATTATAGTCGCAAAATACGCAGGAATAGCTGATCATGCTAAACCGGACGAGAGCCTGTGTTCAGGGCTGCAACTTTATATTGCACACATTTATTACTGTGACTTCTGTTAATGTTTTCAATATAAAAAAAAAAACGAATTAAAACGTATTACTATTTTGAGCCCATGACCAGGAACACAAGAGTCCCAGCAGGAGGCAGGTGGCAGGCCCAGAGAGGGGTTGAAGAGAGTTTGGTGAAGGGGCTGTCAGGAGGGTGGGCAGGGTGGAAGGAGACTACCCTGGCATCCCCTGAAGTGTGGAGTGAGGACTGCAGCTGGAGTGGTGGGAGGCCGACTGGCCTCCGAGGGGAAAACCAGCACTGCCCAGAAAGGGGCCCAGCAGGAAGGGAGCCCGTGGCCACTGCTTTGTTGTTTGGCCTCCTGGCAGTGCTGGGCGAAGGGCAGAGCCAGTGTCCGAGGGCAAGACAGACGTGTCCCAGGGCAGGACCCCGAGCTCCTCAAACCCGGGGAGGACGGTGGATACAGGAGAGGTCCGTGAAGGCGCCTGAGTGACTGATTCCCCGCTCCCGGAGCTATGGAGTGAGCCTACTGGATGTGTCTGGATTTATGATGGTGTCAAATGTGTTGAAACTGTTACTGCATTTTGATTTGTATAAGAAAGAATTCCAGCCACAACCTTCCACTTTTATCTCATTTCATTCTCTAGTTCTGAATTCTGTTTTTCTCTGGAGATCATGACTAAATGGAATCCCAGGGATTTTTAACATAGCGACTGTTAGATGGGAAACGTTTTACAGGGAACATATCGGTCCCCAAGGACTGAAACTTGGCTCAGTCACGTGAACACAATTAACACCCAGAGCCCCACCCCGGGCAGCCCCGGGACCCCAGCTGGGGTGGAGGATTTTTAACATGCTTAATTGTTAGATAAACGTTTTACAGGGAACATATCGTCCCCAAGGACTGAAACTTGGCTCAGTCACGTTGAACACAATTAACACCCAGAGCCCCACCCCGGCAGCCCCTGGACCCCAGCTGGGGTGGATCCGCCTACTCACAGGTGAAGAAAGCTGCAGAAAGCCTGATTATTTCATTCAACTGAGCAAAGAAAGTTGAGCTCTTTTTCTGGCTGTGGCTGTAGGGCCCCCAGCCTCCTGGCCCCGAAGGAGAAGGGCAGGTGGATGAGCAGCTGTCACCCTTGCGGGGAAGGGCCCTGCCTTAAGAAGTGGGGCTCTGGGGCCTTCCTTCCACCTGCTAGTGGACACCTTCCTGACCTCCTCTCTGCCTCAGTTTGCACACCTATAAAATGGGGTTAGTAGGGATGAAGGTTGCTGTTGGGTTTAAAGGATCTAAGATCCTGTTTACACACATTGCGAAAGCCCACAGAGTGGGCTCACCTCCTCCTCCTTAGTGTCATCA